TCGACACAACATTCAAACTTGGACTCGTCCGGAAAGGTATATAGTCCCTTATATCGATATATGCCTTTATCGGACATAATTATAATATCTACATCTTCTAGTTGCTTTGACTTCGCGTCGTTTTCAAATTTGCAACTATTTGATAAATATTACTGGAGTTATTTGAGGTTTCTTAGAAACCGATTTACTCCTTGCTCATGTATACAAGGAACTTCTTCTTACCGACGCCCGAATTGAGAATTTTGCGCCATTCTTTCTGCCGGCTTTCCTAGAGTTCAGATGTATGCATCGACGCCAGAAAATTTCAGTTTCAGAAGGCGATCTGTAATGTCGGGGACTTTTCCTATGCTTGGGTAAGTTAATTATAGTTTACGAGTACCTTAAATGATGTCTGTTAAAGTGGTCACTGCTGTAGAGAGATCAGAATCGGCTGTGGGATCACACATAGTTCGACCGTTCTTGATCGCTAGAGAAGCGGATTCGAACTTAAACCTTCCTATGTACAGACTAAATAGCCTATGCCCTAAATAACCCACACATACTGGTAAAACTAATAACCTTACAAGTGTGTACCATTTAAACTAATAACAGAAGTTGGTGCATACGAATGGGGATATAATTTGGGTCAGTACGTGGACAGACAGAGCTGCGTGAGTGTGTTTCACCCAGATCAATGGATGTGTGGAAATGACTTGAGAGTCGTAGGGAATAGGGGTACTGACGGTAAATGGTGGTGACTGTGTGCAGATGGGAGGGGGGAGAGATTGATATATGTGTTAGAGTGTCTATCTATCTCCACTATATATCTGACTTTCCATCTCTTGCACTAAACAGACAGATGAATGATAGGAGACATTGTCTCCTGGTCTTGAGAGTGCACTCTGAGGAATTAAACAGAGGAGCAGAGGTGAAGTAGGCTGTTGTGGGGTGGTGACTGATACTTATTCTGTCTTTCCTGTCAAGATGATACCCTCTGGGTGATGACTAATTCTGAGTTCTCTCTTGACAGGATGAAACCTATGTGAAGAGCTGGCAGATAAATCACAGTCCAACCAACACCCACCAACCATCAATCAACCAATTGTCAACCAATTACCACTTGTGAAGTCCAGACATCAACACCATGGGGTGCCATATACCCCAAACATCCTACAGTGCCAGAGCATGTGTGTAGCTCAGGGACAGTGTTATGTCCTGACTGGTGGGAGAGATTTGCTGAGTGCCTATCCAGTTGCGGTGTCCTCTATGGTGAGGTACTTCCCCACCATCTGAGCCAGTTGAAACAGAATTACCAAAGACAGTCGAATCATCAGGAGCTGAGTTAGTTACTAGTTACCTCTATAACATGCTTTATTCCCCACAGCTCCCTTGTGGTCCTATGATGAGACATATGTGCTACCTCCAGGACTTTCTGGCTGTTTGGTTGTCTTTGTAATCTGGACATTGTATTCTGGAATCCATCTATTGAGATCTGGCATCTACTTCACTATTATGTATATGTTGTATTGATTACATGCATTCATTTTCATGAATTATCATAACCTGGGGGCTTTCTTTAGTAAGTAGTGGGGGTGTCCAGCCAAGTGTGCCTAGGAATATTGTATTCATATACAGATATATTTTGTAGTGCCAATACTTGAGTTGCCCTACTCCAGAAATAAGTTGAGCGTATATTGGCCACGGGGAATCCCTTAGACCAATACGAGCCAAACGACTCAACATAATTATTTCTGAGTGCTGTTGGTTCTGAAGGAGAAATCCTTACATCAGGCACGTGACAGGAGTGATATGTGACAGTGACACAAAGTGCCACCATGCGGATGAGGATCACCCGTGGAGAGGTCCCAGCACGTCCATCTTTAGACTATAGCTACAGAAAGGCGTGAGTCCCAGAAACTCCGTCCAGCGTTAGGCCATGAAGATCAACATTTAAAAATATGCAAAACAGAAATCATGAACACAAAAAGGGAACATCTCTAAAGTGAAGTGGGCCGCAAGAGAACATAGTATCATACACGGAGAGGCCGATTCAGCGAAAAGTAATAGATGGACTGGGCGGTTTTCAAAGCGCTGGGGAAACAAAATGGATTTCCAATCATCAAGGTTTGCAACTGGCACTATCAGTGTATGGGGGGGGGGGGGTCTTCTTCTTTCGTTGCTAGATATGGAAAATAACTTACCCACCTAATCGCTCCTCTTCTACCTTGGCATCTAGAGATTTGACAGAGAGAGAGCCATACTTCTCTATCAGCAGTTGTCTTTTTGACTTTTTTTCTCCATTCGGGTCCTCTTTATCAGGGACTATCGGAGTTTGTCTTCTCAGCGAACCCTGAGTCGTCCTCCCTGGTGGTCTGGTCCCCTGGTTCTTGGTCTCCCGTGCCTGCCCTGGTGGCTAATTCTCTCCCATTCTGCATATATTTCCAAACCATCACACAGGTAGAGCGGCATACAACCATTTTTGTCCTCTTGCTAATTTCTCTTTTGCTGAGAAACCCCTCAGGGGAAATGACACCTGTGAGAATGTGATGAGTGCAAAGATGTCAATTCTTCATAATTACTATTTGAATGATACCATGAAATTACCGAATGGCAACTTACACATTTCAGTTAGCTTTAACGGACAACGGATTAAAAGGACGCATTTAATTCCATTTCTTCTGAAATAAGTGACACTCGATCAGTCACTTCTGTTTGTATTTCGTCAGAGGGGTTTGCAAGGATGCCTGGAGAGAAAGATCACAGAAGTTGTTAACGGAAGTTGAGTGTTAATTTTAAAAAAAGCAGTGTCATCTAAATAGGTAAATAAACGACACAAATTACGAGTCGAAAGCAATTGCATAGTGTGGAGTGGATTGATTGTTGCATTGAGAATCAACATCACAGCACTCAGGAATTCTCATAAGCGCTCCGTCTCCATCTTCAGCAACAAGCGCAGATTTCCAGTTCCGATGGCATCAGTAACAGTCTGACTGTACATCCATCCAGCCTTTTTCTTGAGTGTTGAGCGTCGGCCAGATCCCTTGGTTACTCATCGTGGTACCACTTGGGGCTTCTTAGCAAAAGGTAATGGTCGTTGTTTGGTGCAGGAGGGCCTAGCATATGATACCACAACATCCAGCTTAAGAAGGGAGGTGGAGGCGGTCACAGCAGCTTTCCGCTGGCTAGAGAACACGACACACACATACATCGTGATTGTAACTGATTCAAAAAGCAGGCTGAGGAAGATCAGAACAGGTATGCTTCGTGCAAAGTGACATTCTTCGCTGCGGAGGACACAGGTGAGGAGTAATGACTGGACTTTTTCACCGGGTCACGATGGTGTGTTGGATAATGAACACGCGGACAGACTGGCCGGCTCTGCACAACTTGGTGGAATACTGATACATGATAAGGCAGACGTGGTTAGTGCCTTGTGGGAGAGCGTGTACAGCTCGGAGGAGCAGATGGATCACCACAGTCTGGTGAGATTGATGCAGCGGGGAGTGACAAGAGGTTCTGGCAGATGCTCGAGGCTCAGAGGAAAGGCAAGACGGACGTTTAATCAGAATGCTACTGGCACCATTAGTATCGGAACTCTTCGCTGGCTCCTGAAGATGGGGACGGAGCGCTATGGGAATGCCCAGAGTGCTGTGATGTCGGTTCTTGAATCAAATCAAATCAGTCGACCAAATCCTCGCGGCACCTTTCTTCTCTGGATATGATAATCTATTTGTGCCCTTGCACTGTTTACTTGCTACCAAAGCAAACAATCATACAACATCTAGCATCAATTCACCACCGAGTGGGGCAGAACCATTCAGTGTATTTACCTGTTCGTTTCACAACTAACCCGCCAAACCCAGAGCAAATATCCCAAAAGACGCTAACTGCCCAGGATCTCTAAAGTGATGCTTGCCACTGCACGAAGGATACCTGTCTCCACCGTTTCTCAACAACCTCGAGTCTGTTGCAGTTACGCCATGTGTGTATAGCTGGTTTTCAGACCAGCAGAAGGCAGCAGTGACTGTCTCCATCATAATTATAAAACTGTGGTATCGTATACAGGCTTAGACTTCCATTCGCTTTTGTCATCAACACTAAATGCACTTCTTTGGTTTCTCAACACAGAGCCACCAGAGAAACTTGATGCTAAGTTGCTCTTGTGTTTAGTGACAGTGAACAGAATCGCATATGTTAGTGGGACTCACCGAGGAAACAAAGAATAATAAAAGGGGGACCCCAAAAAAAAAAAAAAACTGTCTAAGGAATATTTGTGTGAGCGTAGCAACCTCATCCCGCCCGAAACAGCTCTAAAACCCCGTCGGTCGTGAATATTTAAGGTTTCACGCGATGGAGGTGATTAAAGGTTTATGTTCTACTGGAAGATGAACAGCAGGGGAAGATGTAAACAGGAAGCCTACATCGGATATAAAACTTGGAAGGTCTTGCAAACTTTTTAAAGTGGATATTCCATAGTTAGTCTATACCTTGGTGGCTTTTTACTTCATCCCTTCATACACTTACAGTTTTCTTCCTTTCACTGTTATGAATATACGCACGGCGAGATATTACTTTTTTTTTTTTTTTCAAACTGAATTTTACTGCGCACCCACACTTCTTTGTATACTCATTTTTGTTTATATTGGCCCGAATTACGAGACTTCCAAGATATCCACCAACATTGGACTACAGGTTACTGTGTAAGTGTCGTGTGCCCTAATGTTCTATACGGCTGAAATGAGTTCCCGATGGTTTCTTATTCGAATAAAGTCTTTGAATAACTAGATGTTAATCTTTCAATTGCAATCCCCAAACGGAAAAACTAGATTTCTGATGAAATTTCAAGCTACTTTTAAAATTAAAAAGAAAGCGAATCTCGCTATTCACGCGCAAAACGTCTTAGTTTTCATAGTGTAAAACATGAACGTTTGCCCATTATACGAAACGCCATATTTGGATAAATAAAATGCGTACAAATTAAAGTTTAATTATTAAACTAACACAGATAGGTCTATACCATTATGAAAATTTCAGACGTACTAAACTGCTCATTTGCAGCATGGTACGGTACTTTCCAGCGTGTTACATTTAAGAGGTAAAATAATATTTCATAATAAAACTACTTCTTCGCCATCCGTAAACTCCGGCGGAAAATTTCTGGTTGTTCGTCCACTTCTAGACTACAGTTCAGTTATGTTCCAGAACCTAAGTTTTGCGTGTGCATCCGTCTTACAAATCTGACTAATTTGCATGAAGACTGCTGGTCCCTTGCCTCTCAGGCAGATGCATTCCGACTTCGAAGGAAGCTCCTAAGTAGTCGACTCTTACGACATGCTTTTTTTTTTGGCCGCAATGAGGGCCCCGGAACCCACATGTGGAATGTGGATTCGATTCATAATTAACTAAAATAGATACATTAGTCATACTGTAATTAGTCAGAATATTAGTAATAAAAATAGTATAGTATATCAGTGGATATATTCAACTTTTTTTCCCAATTCATTAATCATAATCAATCTGATATTCAATGATTCATATAACTTGGGTAGTTCTAGTAAGATAGCATAGCTGACACTGTCTGACGTCTTGGGTGGGGGGGGGGGGGGGGGGGGAGGGAGCCTCATTTCAGTCTATACGCATCCGTTCTAAGTCGAGGTAGTTTTGCTTGACTGTTGAATCATATTATAAAATACAGTGGATCTCAGATACTTTAGCTATTAAAGCGGCTGTAATATATAATAACGTCCTGTTAAGATTAGAATTAGATGCAAAAATGTTTGCTTCCTATACGGTTATCCTCATCCTCATCAAGTGCCTTGCCGACTGGCATATGCGATCATGCCTCTCCATAGTCGGCAATCGGCACCTGCAGTCCATACCATGACAAAAGGCTGTCGGGAATCTTCTCGCGCTGTCTTCCTCTGTCTCTGTTTACAGTAAATCTTTCCAGTGGTTACAGCCTGCTCCATTTTCCATCTATAACCAAAAAATGATGACTGTCTGTTCCTTATCTTTGTGATAAGTTGTCTTCGAACACCTGCCTCTTTCAAAACATCTAGGTTACTCTTCTTAGCTGCCCAAGGAATTCTAAGAGTTCTTCTGTAAAACCACATCTCTGAGGCCTCAAAAAATTGTTTGGCCTGTTTATTAATTGTCCAGGATTCACAGCCATATATTAAAACTGGCTCTCTATAGCTTGCGAGAATTTTGTTTCTAACCTCCAATGACATGGACTTATTGCACAAAATGTTCTTCATTTGAAAAAAAAGGCAGATTTGGCCTGTCCTATTCTGTTCTTTATCTCTGTGATACATCTTCTGTCTGAAGTTATCCATGTGCCAAGATACATTTCTGTACTTGTTCTAAAATAACACCTTTGACTCTTATTATGCATTTATTCTTTTTTTGAAAATCACCATTACTTCTGTCTTCCCATTATTCAAACTGAGGCCTATTTTAACACTTTCTACCACCACCGTATCTATTAATTCCTGTAGTTCTTTCTGACTTGTCACTGTAATACGGGTATACAACCTTTATTTTGAATAGCAATAGAATGACATCTTGAGCTACTGCTACTATTTTTTATTTTCTCGTTAATCATAAACAGAATGAAAGTGTTCATCCAGAGCACCAAATGATGGATGTCAAAAACCTTGCAGAGAAAACCATCCCAACAAAGCCTTAAAAAACTTTAATAAAAGCATTGTCGGGAATGACGTATACTGAGGTACCACTCGAAGTGGAAAATAGAAGAAATACATTTTCAGATCATGTGTCTTGATACTTTAAATGCTGTAACTTTTCATAGAAGCAATAGCCAATAAAACAAATGATTATTTTTGAAATATTTTGTCATTAATGTTCATAATGGCTGTCCATTAATATAAATAGAGCCAAAGAATGTAACGGCATGTTGAAAACAAACTTTGAACATCATGGAAACCATAAACTTTTGTGTGGTTAGCGAATGGAGCTTTTAGGTCGCATTGCTGCTTTATCATTTAATTATCAGACAGATTAATAATACCAGTAAAAAATGCTCACTAGTTAATTTTAAAGTCACTTATTTTTGACCTAGTATATATAGGTTTTTTGCTTCTGTTTGCAAAGCGACTGGTCCCACTACAGTGTTACTCAAAGCACAAACACCTTGGATCCTGTGACAGACCCCCACTTTACCCACTCGAGATTCAGTACCTTTAACTCTTTGAGTCCCAGGGGGTTTACCATCACAGGCCCAAGGGATAGTCAAGAGAGACATAAAATCGGCGCATCATGCGTTCCTTAGGACTCAAAGAGTTAAGAGCACAAGATAGGTGGATTAACCACTTCACTACATCGACCCTCAAATGTGTTATCTGATATTTAGCTATCCTCCGAATAATGGCCACATATTATGGCGGCCAAAAACAGGGCCTCAGTCACATGTAAATTGCGCACTTCCGGCGACTTAAATTGCGCACTTCCGGTGACTACTGCCACCGCCGAGAGTATCTCCCACACCGCTACGTGTGGTGTGGATTGGGGCTAAACTAGATGGCTAGTACTCACAAGCAAAGCTGCAGGAGATGCGGAAGCTGCTGCTCGTGAGCACGACGTGGGAGATACTCTCGGCGTTGGCGGTAGTCGCCGGAAGTGCGCAATGTAAGTGCCGGAAGTCTGCAATTTACATGTGACTGAGACCCTGATAGGGTGTTTTGTGGCCGTTATTCAGAGGATAGCCTGATCTTCTAATTCTAGTGAAGTATTTAGTTAAAAACCACATTGTATTTGTTTCAGCATTGTTATACCATTGCCAGAGGATTTTGTCCGTTACTTGCACACAGATGGCATTGTTCTTCCAGATGGGTAAAAATTATTTTGTTTTTTTATTTGTCCTTCTTCTTACTATACTCTTGCCTCTTCTGCTCCTTACCTATCTTCCTCCTTCTTTCATTTTGTTCCCGCCTCTCTCCCACTCCATCTTCCTTTTCAATTTCCCTTTTTTCCCTTCTTTGTTCACAGTTGTTATTTTTTCAACCGTTAAAAAACAGTTTTTATTTTCAGTTACAATAAAATAAATCAAAGTTAAGCTGAAATAGTTTTCTGTTAATAAATAATAAAGAATGTATCCCCCTTGTTTGGGTCACAGTGAAACAAAGAACAGATCCACTGCCCCTCAACAAGCATGTCATCAAAGGTTCTAATTAAGTCTTAACTGAAATAGGATTTGTTGGGCCAAAATTTGCAGGTTGTCTAGCTGTTAACCACCCATATATAAGAGTGAACACAGAAGCATAAGAATGTATCCTTTACATGCTCCTTTCATGAGGCTTGGTTTCACATTCTGGCAAGAGGGACCTCAGACCACCATTCTTTTCTGACAGACAAGTAGCCTAAGCAGTCTTAACAATATTACAAATAAAATTAAGTTATCATAAAAAGATATCCAGCAGACGGAAAGTAGAGCTAGTGAGCTTTGCATTATGATGAACACAAACAACAAGTTAATGTTACCGCTAGAGAGCCTTCATCAGCACATTATCTTAATCAACAAGCCCAAAAATATATACCATACAAGAATACACCAAATCACTTAGCTGAACATTGTGGAAGCACAAATAGATCTTTATGTTCTGAGGAGAATGGCGCTGCAAGGAGTTGCCAGGGGATCTGGCTGATGCTCAACACTCAAGGAAAAGGTGAGACAGATATACAATCAGAAAGTTACTGGTACCGTCGGAATTGCAAGTCTTTGGTTGCTGCTGAAGATGGGGACGGAGCGCTTATAGGAGTGTCCCGAGTGCTATGATGTCAATTCCTTATTCAACATTCAACTTAGCTGACATATTCTTGACAGAGGTCAAATTGCTGTCTGACCAGTGGAAAAAATGACACTTTGGCTGCCGGGAATAAATACTAGCCTGAGAATGTCATTGGCCAGGGGTCATCAAAGGTATTAGATAAAACTGTTGAAAGTTAAGACCCATGGGTAAATTTGAAAACAAAAATGAAAAAAAAAAAAAAAAATTTAAGTGCATCAGTGTGCATTTTTAAACTTCCAGGTTGCCTACAAATATAATGCTTTTTTACCCCACAGCTCGCAATGTGGTTTATATACCAAGTCAAAAAATCTGGCTATGGATGGTGATGATGATGATGAGGACCTTAGAGATGATGATCTAATGAAAAAGTATGAGGTAAAGTGTCTTTTTCCTCCTAAAATTTCACCATAAATTTGGTTTTCATATCCATATGTAGTGTAATTGTTATAGTGCTCATAGGTCGATCAAGCCTAAAATTAAATTGGTGTCAGGATTCTTCCTGGGAGGTGAAAGTGACTGGGGTGAAGTTGACCACAATACCCATTTATTGTTCTATACAAGAATATAGACCTAGCATAATTCATCATTCATAAATATGGTGCTGTCACCACAGTGTAGGTTTGGCTGCAGTGGATCTGTCTCTCATCTCATTTGTAGTTTGTCAGACTACTGTTCGCCCCTCTCTTGATGTTGTCCTCCCACTTGTCTCACTCAATACGTTTTGCTCTCTTGCCCTCAGTATTTCCTTCTAGTATTATTTTAAACACTTTCAGTCCTAATTGACACATAATGTTTGATTAGCTACTACCCATATGTCCTAAACAGTGCATGATGTGATTCAATTTTTGTATAAACATTTTTTCATTATTTAAAAAATCAACATATGTTACTTTATGTTCTACGCTATATGTTTCCTCCATGAGAGTAATTTGTATTGATTTATTCCTTGTGGCTAAGTGTTTATCAAGCATCTCCTATGAGATATTATGGAACTGAAAGTTAGGAGAGTGTTGTCTTTTAATGTGACTGAAATATTTATTTTTCTTTCTTTCAGCAACTCTCTTTTCATTCTCAGTTTCTCCAGATATGTGATACGCCAATGTATGAAATTACTCCTCTGTTTACTAATGCTTGATAAGTTTGTAAATGGTACTTTATTTTACCATTTATCACTTGTCTGGTTTGGCACATAAAACAGAATTACTATTCACTAGATCAGTGTGTTTCTCCATCATAAAATAAAGGAAGTATATAACCACTTTCACCATGTGGGTTTTCGGTCTCCATTTTGAAGAACCACGAAGAGACCACGCGCGCCCCCCCCCCCCCCCCCCCCCCGGCCAACATAGCAAACACTAATTAAGGGTGATTCCTTTAAAGTCAGATTGTATCTGCCTGAGAGGCAAGGAAGCAACAGTCTGCATACAAAAAAACCAGATTGTAAATTGGTTGTGTACGAAAAGTAAATTGGATCTGTACAAAAAAACCAAGTTCTGGATCAAAACCAAAGTCCACAAGTGGATGAACAGCCATAGATTTCTGCCAGATTTTACAGCTGGTAAACACTAAGAAGAAGAAGAATATAACCACTCCTGTGAAAAAGAGTGTTGGTTGTCCTTGGTGAAGTAGTTAAGCTCTCTGCCTCACACTCAGAAGGTCATGGATTCAGTATAATAGATCTCCATTTTTCTGTTCATGTGTGCATGCATGTGTTTCACAGATGCTTAGAGGTTGTCACTGTACCTTTGGAGTTTGTGGTGTATGCGGCGTTGACATGCAGTCAGAATGCAGCTTGCATCACTGGTAATGGAACAACTTGCTGATGATGACAGACGGAGTAAAACAGAGTCCAGAGTGCCATGATGTTGATTCTTAACTCAGCTCAACAACTTGATTTTTCATATTCACATAGCATTTTAAATGTAGAAATAATGAAGTAATATGCGTCTTTGAATTACTCTTTGATATATTTTTATTTCCTTAGAATGATTGGCAAGTGCCAAGTAATACAGAAATTGCAAAGGTGTGTTTTTAGTCTTTTTTTATATATATGATGTGTAAATTTATTTTTGTGAATTATTGCAGAAACATTTAATTTTCTTTCAGTAGATGTTGCAAGTTTAGGTTTTTGAACATTTAAATATTATAGAGCTTTTGTATTGTTCACTCACTGATAGAGATGTCTTGATTGCTTCAGTTTTAATGTGTCATCTTTCAAGACTTTTCCCAGACTGGTTACATGTTATTAAACATTAAACTGAATCCTTGAAAGTAGTGTTCATTTCCTTGTTCTTTTCAAGGTCATCTTCTTTGTACACCATGCATACCCATAAATGTTAGGATTTTCTCCTAAGCATGTTTCTTAGTGTGTTTGTGTTGACCACCTGTACACCTGTTCTGTAGTAGGTGGTGATCTCGTGACTGTGACATCTTGCATGACTTCACGTTACACTGCTCCCACTGGTATATCTGGATTGAAAATATGTTGACGTGAAAGATAATAGACGTAATATTTTTTTTTCATCCAACTTATTGTGAACCTTTGGAGAAATGATGGGGAAAAATAATCAGGTCAGTAAATAAAAGACCTTTTTGAAAGGCATGAAGTGCTAAACCCTTGTTTTCTATAGACCATTGAGAGGATAGGAAATGTTAGCAACATGCAGGTTACCTTTACTTCCCATAAAATTTCCTCATAACCAATTTTAGTCTAAGTGCAGCCCAGGCTAAATTTCAGCTGTTGTATTATATATGCTGTGCTGAATCAAGTCCTGGTTACATTCTGGTTTACTTCCCTCCAGATAGGAAATTTTACTGCCAGTCTTGCACACCTTGTGGGTTTCTGAGCTTGGAAAGTGAGTGGAGATACTTCTGTAAAGGATCAGATGAAAAGGCTGCATCACCCTCATTTTTGTAGATGCAGATGCTGTTTGGGGTTCAGATGGCCTGTCTGATTGATCAGACTTGAATCCTCTTGTTGATGGGTCTCAGGGAGCCATTTAGTGGGGATGGGGGGTGGGATAATAGACCCACTGTTCTTTAAAGAATTATGTTGTAAAAGGTGGCGAATTAAAAATTTGTTGAAATCAGGTATGTTACACCAAAAGGTTAAGATATCACAGCTTTACTGTACACCAGTTCACAAAATATCAACCACCATTTTAAAGGCAAACGGAGAAGAAGAAGTAAGATGAGATTCAGAGTTGATATACAGTCTTTCTTTCATGGAAGTCCTCAACCAGTCAGTCAGTCAGCAAACCAGTTCATTTTAATTGAAACCTTTTTGTGCAAAAACAGCATCTCTTAAGTACAATTATTTAAAATGATTGAGTTAAGAGCAGATGACACAGTACTCAGGACATTCCCATTAGCATTCTATCCCCCTCTTCAGCTGCCAGTACACCAATTCCCATGGTATCAGTAACAGTTTGATTGTATGTCTATCCTCAGATCTCTGGTTGCTCCCCCCTGCACTGTTCTTTCCAGCATGTAGATGTAGTCATTTTTCTTCAAAGCACTCCTGTGCCCAAAAGGCCTTAACTATATCTACTTTCTCAGACATCAGTTACAGCACCAGCTAGTGCAGATCCAGCCAATCTGTAGTTAGTTCATTTAATTATTACACTGACAAGTTGATATATTTTACTTTTTATCATTATGAGTGTTCAGACCTCATAGAATTGCTTGCTTTGTCTAAGATTAATGTTGTCAAAGAAAACTTGACATTTAAAATGACCAGGTGCTTTTCCTAATAATAGTAGGTGATATTGTGCCCCTCTTTTCTCCAGGCACCTGATTTTGGTGAATTAGATGAAACTGTGAAGACAGCAATCACATCTTTAGGAGGCAAGGTTTTCCCAAAGTTAAACTGGAGTTCACCAAAGGTTGTGGTTTAAAAAAAAAATGTGTCCTATCATTGTTTTAAGCAGTAATATTTTAGCGCACATATGAAAAAAAAATGTAATTACTACATCCTGTGCCATAATCTAGTGTGAGAATGGAGGTGGAGGCAGTCACTGCTGGATTGAGAATCAGCTGTACACATATGTTGTAATTGTAACTGACTCACAGAATATGTTGAGGAAGGCGGAGACAGGCATGATCCGTGCAGAGTGGCAAGCATAGCTTCAGAAGTACCGGGTAGTTAGTGTCCTTAGAATATTTTCTCTAGGTCATGCTGGTGTTTTGGGAAATGAGCAGGCAGTTCTTGGTGATGAATTGATGTATGACATGCTAGATGTTGTTAGGGTCCTTTGGGAGCAAGAACAATGGGGTGGCACAAATAGATCATTACAGTCTGAGGAGAATGACGTTGCAGGCAGTTACCAGGGGATCTGCCACTGCTCAACACTCAAGGAAAATGTGAGATGTATGTACAGTCCGACAGTTACTCATACCATCGGAACTAGAACTCTTCGCTTGCTGCTGAAGATGGGGATGGAGCGCTTATGGGAGTGCCCTGTGTGCTGTGATGTCGGTTCAACATTCCTGTGCCATGATGATAAGTTGTTGATCATGGTTTGCTCTCTCACACTGTCTTGAATCAAATCTCTGTTTTATAATGTGCTACCAATGTACAGTGCTGGTTTCCTCCTCCTTCTCATGGTTTGTCTACAGAAGGGCTATTCAACTGGCAGCCTGTGTCTAATCTGCCAATTACTGGCAGTTGTAATAATGATCTTTCTGTGGTGGGGGTCAGGCCTCATGCCCATGGCTATCCCCATTTTCAGCATTTAGGCCCCTGGATACCTTAGTTAAATAGCTGGGTCTATAGTTTGATCCCATGAGCATCTATATAAGGTGACAAACCTCAAAAGACAGGAGGTTGGGGTTAGGAGAAAGGTTATGAAATTTTTGTAATAGCATATTTTATATAGTTAGCTTCCCCGTGTGGGTTCCTGAACCCCATTGTGGGAAAACAAGAATAGACCCACTGCCTACCCAAAAGCATGTCATAGGAGTCGACTAATTTAGGGCTTCCTTTGAAGTCAGAGTGCATCTGCCTGAGAGGCAAGGAACCAACAGTCTGCTTTCAAATAAGTCAGATCTGTAAAACGGATGTGCACACTACACTCAGGTTCAGAACAAGACTAAAGCCCAAAGATAGATAAACAACCAGAACTTTCTGATTAGCAGAGCAGTCAGCTAGATTCCATGATTAGTGAGCCTGCCAAATAGTAGAATTAGCTCAGAAATATTTGCCACTACATGAATGAGTGAAGCACTTATGTGGGAGCCACCGTAGTGCAGTGGCTGGATGCTTGCGACTCAGACATCTTGTGTTCGAATCCACACAAGGTAGATTAAACAAATTGAACTCTGCTCCAAGGTTGACCCATCCTAAAATGAGTACCAGAAGATGTCCTGGAAAGAAAAGGCAGCCACTGCTGTGTTGACCACGTCATTCATTGTGTGCTGATTTGTCTGTAAAAATATGAGGCTGGCATCATGTGCTCCATACAGCACTGGAATGAAGAGGGTCCTTACGTGTGACTGCAGATGAAAAGACTAGTTAAGCAAATGTCTCAGTCTAAAACTACTTTACCAACACAAACACCGAAACATTGGCTTATGGGAGTTTTGTATTTCAGCTACAGTGCAGACCTTATATGGAGAACTCATCGGGACCCAGTCTTACCAGAATTTCCTCTTCTTCTTCTTAAAGTCCATTCAGTGCGGCGGTAGTCATGTCTATCCACAGTCTTCTTTCAATCAACTCTGACACAGATGATCCCCCAAGCCATGATATCAATCTGTCCAGCATCTTTTCTCTTATCGGGATAATAATTCAAGCAAAAACAATTGAAAAGGATAAACATATTGTTCTTTACAACAGAAATTTACCACCTCAGATATAATCTCAAGTGGTGTGCACTGTATAAGGATTCATTGTTTTGTTTGCTTTTATGTTGATATATTTCTATAGGGGAGTCGCCGTGGTGGAGCGGATTGGTGCTTGCCTGAGGATTGGAAGGTCGTGGGTTTGCTTCCTGATGGAGCCAGATTTTTTTCAAAAATGACCTTGGCTCCCAAGTAAAGGTGCCCGGCGTGATGCTGACCACATCACCCATCTTGTGCTGATTGGTCTATACAATATAGGTCTAGCCCTAAATGCCCTATACAGCTAAAGGCTTGGAAAGGGGTCCTTTACTTACTTTTTTAAAAATATATCTCAAGTTTAGATGCAGTGAAAATAGCCATGGAATAAATTTTGCAATACCTTGCTTGTTCCATCTTTATTAATGTTATGTTTTGTTTATGTGTGTGATTCTTTTCCAGGATGCCAACTGGATATCATTTAACAGAACCTTGATGTGCTCCTGTCCCAGTGAAGTTTATTTGTTACTGAAAAGTTCAGAGTTCATTGCTCATGATTTAGATCAGCCGTAAGATAATCAGCTTAAAAAAAATATTTGCATTTTACATGTTTTTTTAAGTTTGTGTGTGTGAGTCTGTGTGTGTGTTAGTTTATGTGTTGTCCTTCTGTGCTAAGGTATTTTAGTATTAATTTGCTTTAAACTACAAGCACTAGAAGAACTGACTACTAACACATGAGCTACACATTAAAAGATCTGATGCGAATTCAAGAGTTCTTCCTAGGAGAAGATGGATTGATCACATTAAAGAGCTTCTAAACTGACATGGAATGACATTAGCCATTGCTATCCAGCATGCAGTGGATCACAGACTGTTCCTACCTACGATGCTTAATGACAAATGTGAAAATTTATGATAGTGATGACTACAGTGCAGCTGTTAGTCCTCAGGCTCAAAGACCCCTCTGCCTAGACCACAAAAGTTGATAATAAAGGCAGTATTTGGCAGTTTGGCAGAAGACTACAAGCACTTGTGGATTTTTAAAAAAAAATTGACCTGGCAGTTGACTTCAACCATAAAAGGTTCAAGAAATTGTTATGGGATGTAGCAGACATGTTATTCACCTCACATTTCATCAAGTGCTGATTGATCTATAAAAGTAATGGGCTACCATCATATGGCTAAATGGGTATATTTGAGATTTTGTCTTATCTTTTTTGTTGTTATTATAAAAACTGGATTGTCTTTGAGAGTCGAGTTCAATGTTTAAAATGCACTTATATGATGATTTGAACTGATAACCACTGGGCCAGCAGGCATTTATACTAGTCACTCTGCCACCAAGGTTGCTGTCCTTTACTTAGGGCTGTTATGTCCAGAGTTTCTTTAGTACCTAATGTTCTCTTTTGTGATGGCCATCCCTTGTTTTTCTAGGAATATTACCTACACTTTCTTTTCTTTCTAAAACACTGGCTTGTAGTAAAGGCAAGGTATTTAATTTTATTGAGTTACATTTGTCATCAATGTTCTGATATATATGTTGTTAGTTTTTGCTGTTGCCTTAAACCCCAATATTCTAGGAAGTTTTCTGTGATTTTTAAGTTCAAAACCTTCAGTTTCATCTAAAGAGATTGTAAAAAGAAATTCATGATTGTGTGTTGTCATAGAAAAGATTGATGTACTCAGAATGTTTTATTTGTTATCACATATATGGTCTCTCTATGTATTTTTTTCAGTTTCGTACACTGTGATGACTATGACAGCAGTAGTGCCGCTGACAGGAACTCTATGTCATATTGTCTGGTGTTGAGGCAATGGCAGTCTATAGATCCTTCATGTGAATTCAGATGTTTTGTGAATAAGAACAGATTAATAGGTGGGTAATGTCAGAGCAAAAGTGTCTACAGGGTATAAATATATATGAATGAATCAAAAATTGACACTGAACTCGGTAGATTTCTACAAATTCTTCATCCCTTTCAGTAGCATTTGAAAAGTTGACATGCTAATGGTACCAGTTGCAACCTGATTAAAAGTCCACCTATGTTCGCCCCTTTAGTGTTGAAATCCTCCTTCCCCATCCCTTTTTTTTTCCTTTTCTGTTTTTCTAGACAGCAGTGTTGTAGTCTGCTGTAGTGAGCCATTGAAATCATATCCCATGGTGAGTGTGACTAGCTAGCAAGACCAGTTCATGTTAAGAAGAATCTCCTACAATAAATCCCTGAGATTTTAGGCCCATTGTTGCCACCTCATTTATTTCACATGTTTCTTCTCAGATATTCAACTCTGAATGTGCCTGCAATCCTTTTCTCTTTTATCCATTTTACCTTCCTAATTTCTCCCTCCATGCAGTATGGTCCCTGGCACTCTGTTCCCCATGATACCACCGCAGTACCTGCAACCTTCATGTCCCACTGGGATATGGATATATCTTGAAACTGTAGTAGAGGCCAACTTCGATATCCTTTACCCATCTATATTCACCATAGAGGATGTCCTTAGGGTCTCTATCATTCTATGTCCTCTGAATGTGTCCAAGCCACCTGAGCCTTCGAAGTTTGAGCATTTAAAAAAAAACTGTTGTGGCACCTGCCATTTTCAGTACTTCAATGTTTATAATCTTGTCACATCATGCCTAGCATTCTTCATGCACATCTGCCGTTTCTGCTGCAAAGTTGATCAAGTTTCACTACTATTCGGAAGAGTGCTGAGAAGACATGCTTGATAAACAAGGATTTTTTGTATATCAGCATCTGTCGCTTAGAGGTTTTGAAAGTGTTTATTAGCCAGTCTTCCTTGATGTTCAGATCTTTTAAAATGTCAGTTTTTGTTTTTACCCTATCCCAGATATTCTGAGAACAAATGGTTCAGCTAGGAGTCAGCAGCTGGGTCTGGGGGGGGGGGGGGGGGGGGGGGGGGGGGGGGGCACATCTGGCACAGTCAGTATGGGAACTCTTGGTTGGCTGCTGGGGAAGGGGGAGGGAGCATGGGAATTTCTTAGTGGAGCAGTGTAAATTCTTTTGATTCATTCAATAATGAAAAATCAAGTGTGTTATATACTTACAAAACACAAGAGAGGATAACTTTCACAGTACTTATAGAATAACAAATACAGTAAAGGACTCTTCCACGCCTTCAGGCATATCGGGCATAAAAAGCTAGATGTATATTTTATAGACAATGGGCACTCAGTGGGTGATGTGGTCAACATCTCACAGCAGTCTTATATACATACACCTTGTTTTAGACATTTTGTCAGGTATGCATATAAATTAAGGCTTATACATGTTCTTTTCAGGCATTTGTCAAAGAAATAGTACCAAACTGTACCCTCATATTGTTGAAGAAAAGGTAGCAATTCTCAAAGACATTGTCACATTCTTTGAAAAGGAGATTTCGAGCAAATTTCCTGACCCAGATTGTAAGTATATCAAACATAGTTAATATAGTTCATGTTATTTAGCGTGTTGCAGTTCCAGTTTCATGGTGAATAGGTTACCACATAGTTTCTGGGCCAATAAAAACCACACAATGTCCATCACCGTTGGGTGTGAAAAATTGTCAACGGAATTCAGTCTCAGCAAGGCCAATAGCCTGCACGCATTAAATGCAGAAGGCAGGCACCAGAAGTGCCAGTCCACTACAAGAATGGCAGTTCAGTGGAACTAGCAGTTACAAACAAATCCTGTTTCTGAATCTGCAGTTCACAACACAGACCACATTAGGCGCAGTCAAAAAGCATTCCACATTAAATCCACAGCTCGCAGTGTCGCACCCTGCACTTAGCCTGCTAGCTGAGCAATGGAACTATATACTTTCAGTCCAGATATGGGAATTGCAGTTCATTGTCAATGGAAGCATTTACAAAAAAATCCTGTTTCTGAATCTGCAGTTCACAACACAGACCACATTGGGCACAGTCAAAAAAGCATCCCAAATTAAATCAGCAGCTCGCAGTGTCTTACCCTGCACTCAGCCTGCTAGCTGAGCGATAGAACTATATACTTTCAGTTCAGATATGGGAATAGCATTTCATTGTTAATGGAAATAGCAGTTACAACTCCTGTTTCTGAAGCTGCAGATCATAACACATACCACATTGGGCACAGTCAAAAAGCATCCCAAATTAAATCCACAGCTTGCAGTATCACACTCAGCCTGCTAGCTGAGCTATGGAACTATATACTTTCACACATATGGGGAAAATACAACAGCTAACTGTAGCTAGAAGCAAGTAACTTGCAAGACTAGAACAGTCGGGCTTGCCTGAGAACCATACTGGACCAGAAGCCTTGGTGGCTCATGTCAGTAGTGACCATTTTTTTGTTTTTGTTTTGTTTGTTTGTTGTTGAAACAGATAGTTCAGATTATAATGAGACATCTCATCTGGAATGTATACACATTCACAGTGCAGGTGGGTAGCTCTTTAAATAAAATAATTCAATCAAGACATCAGGAATAGATAATTGGACAAACAACAGTAATTTCAGGGAACTCCTTTGCAGTAAAATTGTAATCATACATGGATCCCTCTGTTAGTTTCAGTGTCCCATTTTGGAAAAGGGGGGAAAAGGGAATAAAAATAAAATCTCACCCCTTCCCCCACCACAAGCGTATCATAAGAGACGACGAATTAGTTTTCCTCTGAGGTCAGAATGCATCTGTCTGAGAGGCAGGGAACCAACAGTCTGTATATAAGTAAGCCAGATCTATAAAACTCATGTGCACCAAAAACTTAAGTTCTGGTACAAGACTAAAGCCCAGAAGTAGATCAGCAGTCAGAACTTTCCAGCAGAGTTTACAGCCACAAATTCTCAGAAAATAAGAAAAGATTTATAGTGAAATGCAAGAGTTTTATTGAGAGCTGAGACTTGCAGCGGTCAAATATATCAGCATATCATAAGACTGAAAAAAAGTCAGGTGTAGGTTGTCACAAACCAGTCACAACATTTGTTACATATTATGTGGTTTTACTAGGTAATTTACTAGATTAACTGCCTTCAGAACTATAGAGCAGGCTACAGATGGTTAGACAAAAAAAAAGGGAATGAGAAATCACATACAAACCTGAACACATTGTGTCAATGCATTTGTATTTTTTCTTTATTTCAACATGTCTCCACCAACATGGATACTCACACCACATTGTCATGATGTTAGTTTGTATGGACTTGCCTAGATTTACTGTACTCTCACATTGAAATGTTCTCCAAGGGATAGAAGAATATATGCATGTCAGTTGTTGATTGGCACACAAATTAGCAATTTTCTCAATGCTGTTTTTTATTCTCTTCTTCTTAGCATTCTGAGTCCTTGAGGTTCATTGCTGTCTCAATCCATCACTGTCATTAACCTTCTTTTTTTTTCAGTTGGCCACTCTTAAATGTTTGTAGATCTGCCTAAATACTATCTCTCCATCATCTTCTTGGCCTGCTCCCTTTCAGCTCTTTTGTGTGTGCAGGTTTTTCTTTCTCTTTCATCAGCCATTCTCACTGTTTGCCTCAACTGTTTATTAGCCCTCATGATGTAAGTAATTAGTGGTGGTTTTAGCAGATTAAACTTCTTACTGAATGAAGTGATTTGCACAGTAAGTTAAACCGAATCTGTTATGTCAAGTTAAACAGAAACTTGTTCTAAGATATTTTGCTTTTTCCCTCCACAGATGTGTTTGATGTTGTTCGAAATAGAAAGGTAATGTATTCTTTATAATTGTCCCTGCATTGATTGTTTAATATTGGTTTATGTATGGGCTGGGGTGGCATAGTTGTCTGTGTACATGCCTGAAAAAGACAATAGTTCAGTTGAGTTTTTTTTTTTTTTTTTAAATATACTGCGTCCTAATGTCAGGCGAAATTTTTGTTGTTTTAAAACCCCTGCATGGCTGTTGCTGGGAGCCCTAATATAACCAAACCAGTGGGTTGAACTGGGTCTTTATGATCTGTCCCCGAGTGATCCTCATCCAAATAGTGACATTTTCTGTCACCAGGTTTTTATTGCTCAGTGTGTTGTCCTATTGTTCAAGGTCATTCATTCATTCATGATGTTTTCCAACTAGTATGGCTCTCAGGTTGACCCAGCTTCAAAAAAATTGGTCGAAGACAATTTACATAATTTTTTTGATTCATCTGGAAAGGAAAGGTGACTAGGATGGAAATTAACTGCGCTATCTAACATGTTGTGTCTTAGAAAGTGTGAAGACCTATATATGTCACAGCATCTGCTATTGAACTATGTGCTTTAACTCTTTACAGGCCTATAAGCTTTTGACCGGAGAGAGATTTGAGTCAGTACTTCTTCTTTTTTTAGCATTCACCTGCTGTAAACTCTGGTGTGAAGCCATCGTTGATTATCTACTTCTGGACTTTGTGGGAAAGTTCCCAGTTGAGAACCTGTCTCTAGGATTGCTGCAGAGATATATAGATAGGTCTTGACACGTTTGAGCGGTGGTGCACGACAGTGTGTGTTTCAGTATAGATACAAGATCTATAGGGCTTGGTACAGGGGAATAGGAAAAGAGGCAGACCGAGAAAGACCTGGATACAGAATTAGTCTGAATGGACAGGCGTCAGTCATGGAAATATAAGGTCCATTGCATCTGACTGACAAAGGTGGCAACTGACACTGGCAACAACCAGTGACCCAACGACACATAGTGTTATGGGACTGAGGATGTTGATGATTTCTCATGGGTCATCAACAGGACAAGGCACTAGTCAGTTTCACTAGTTTCTAAAATTTATGTCATGGGTCCGAGACGTGCGATCAGGTACAAGTCAATGAGAGCAGCATAAAAGATATTGCATTCTACAAGCCAAGTGTGGGGAAAATAGTCGGAGATTATTTCCAGTGACGCAGCATGATAACCGTAACTATAACAGTCAACTCTGTGTCCAAACATCAATTAAATGACGAAGGCCATGTACGAAGTGTAACACTGGTGTATTACGATGTATTACGAACACTATGATCCGATTGAAAATGTGCAATAACGTGATAAGTGGTTAAGACTCACCCAAACACGCCAAGCACTCGCTAGCGCACTCACACTTGTCTTGAAATATTAGAATCCATATAATATATCATATTCTAAACAACTCTCTACGGGTCAACAGTACGACCTTGAGAGTCTAAATGGTTACTTTAACCTCTTCATCTGCAGTCTGATACTTGAGAACAGGGCAACGTCCCTCCTTCTTGATTCTGCCAGCTTTTCCATTAAGCGATCCAATAGCTTAAAATACTCCTGCTTCCTGCAGAACGCAATAATGTACTAGCTCTCGGCTGATATATCTCTGTGGAATCACAGGGTAGAACTTCCTCAAGGTTGCACCAAGGTCTGACCACACGTCTGCCTTCTTGAACCTTTCGACTGCAAATCCTCTAGATTCCAATTCCCTAACAACACTATACAATGTTTTGACGTCCTGTTTGCTCAGTCAGTATTGGTGTGTTTTAGTGCATATCCGCATGCGACAGGGTCATCAACAGAACAGGGCACTAGTCAGTTTCACCAGTTTCCTAAATATATATATATAAATACATACTTATTTTTTTCTTTTTTTTTCCCCAAAGGGAAAAGTAATACTTTTAGATTTCAATCCCTGGGGTAGAGTCACTGACAGTTTAATGTTCACCTGGGATGACCTGGAGCATATGGCAGCAGGTAGCCAGGATAGCAGTTGTCAGCAGGTGAGAACAGGTTTGTTTTTCTACTGTAACAATGGTTTCCAGCTTGCTTCAGGCTGCTACATCCTTACCTCCTGCACTACACCCTTAACCCCAGCATTCACAGCAACATTTGTTTGTCTCCTACAGGTGAGAATGACCAGTCCTGTCATCCCTAAAGTAGAGTTGACTGATCAGACTTGTCTTGTCCTGGCACATACTTTTCTTGGACAGTTAAACTATACTATATATAACAATGCTTTACTTCAAAATGATGCCCTGAAACTGGAATTTAGAATTTGGAACTTCCCACCCTCAAGATCTGTATTGCTAGATAGACTAGAAAGTTCTGTAAATGATGGTGGTCTTCGTTCTAGCAACATGATCAGAATAATTCTTCTTCTTCTGCGTTCATCCGAAGATGTAATTGCGTTGTGTCCATTTACAGCATGGCTGCAATATTTGCACCTTTCGGCCAACACATCCGACTTCTGCGGGCATTTGTTGACCGGGTTAGCCTTCCCGGTTAGGACATGGCAGTCTCATTGTTGTGTGGTCATCTTTATTTCCCAGGTCACAGGTGGTGCCCCAATCAGGCTGGTCCAGAGAAGCCACATAATGCTGATCAGCCCTCAAGAGAAGGCAGGGGCAGAACATGAGCATTCCCCGCCATCCAAGGAGGCTTCCACAAATGCAAAGCTAATACATGGTGCTCTGGTACTGGGCTACCCAAGGAATCGTCATGTCCTGCTCATGACTGTTTAACCTCACTTCCATATATTGAACATCTCATACATCATGGGCTATCTGTATTGTAGCCAACAGTATGCAGCCTGCAGACCTAGGATTTAATTTACCAACACCATAAAATGAGTACTTTGCTTCTTTTGCAGTTTGGAATTCAGAAGTCCAGCAGCAAATAAACTGTAAACTTAGATGATGTAGACATGATGTGAAAATATTTAATTTTAAAATTTTATTTAGCATATACTCTGAAAAATAAGCACCGAAAGAAAATAAACAGTTTTACTTTACATTTTAAAACCTGAAAAAACCTGTTTGGGTACTCTGATGATATTTATGTTTATATAGTTTATCTTTGTATTTATTTGTTTTTATATGTATCTCTGTTTATATAATATGTCTTTATGTTTTTATAACGTCTTTATATTTTTTTAAAAACATAAAACCCAATGTCTTCACAATCACAGCTCCCATGTTTTCACTGTGTAGAAAGTGAAGATGGTGTTCAGTGCTCAGATTATGGAAACTATGCTTTCCCAAAGGACATCCGGGACCTGACTGCAGGAGAGGATCCCTTTAAGTTGATGGATCTGATGAAATTGGTAGGTGTTAATTTCATGGTTTCAAGATCCCATAGTTCTCTGTATGGCTTCCGGGACCCATGTTTTGGCGGGAAAAATAATAGACTCACTCCCTAACAGACATATTGTAAAAGTGAACTATTAGGGATTTTTCTTTCTAAGTTGGAGCCAATCGGGCGGAAAGGCAAGGAACCAACAGTCTACACACAAGTAAGCCACATCTGTAAAATGAATGTGCATGCAAAATTCAGGTTCTAGAAGAAGATTAAAGTCCAGAAGTGGCCAAACAACAGGATGTGGTCAAGGCCTTGTAAGAGTGAGTGAACATTGCCAAAGCACAACTGGATCATCATGGTCTGAAGAAAATGGTACAGTGGGGAGTGTTCTTTTCTTTACCTTTTGGTCAACTGGAACTTGTTTACTTTTCTTCCAAAGCTCAACATTAGTGATTCTGTCATACCATTTTTTTTACCTCTATTCTATGCAGGCATGAGTTCTGTGCAGGCACCAGTTAATGTAGTTTGTTAATAATTGTTTTAGTTGTTCTGTGTGTTTCCACTCCATACAGCAGTACTGATTTGGCATTAGAATTAAACGTTTTAAGTTTAGTATTAGTTTCAATTTCTTTTAACCTGCACAAATTTCCTAGTGCTACGAAAGCTCCTCTTGCTTTTTATATTCGTATTTTAATATCTCTTATCAGATTCACCATCTTTATCTGTACTAATGCCCAAATATGTGTATATCTTGGAGTGGAATACCAATGACTATCTTGTGACTTGCCTAGTAGAGTGCAGTGTTAATGTTCTTAGCTTCTCCTTAAGTCCCTTATAATCACAAGTATTTAAGTCTGAAAGGATCTGTATATCCATTTCTTGACTTTACTGAAGTCCTGTAATCAAATCTTCAGTTGTATACACGGAAACACTTCAGTCTTTCAGTAGCAGATGCAGAAATTCTACCACCCATCCCTCGATTCTTTCTAAGGTTACACAGAACACAGAGTTCTTGTTATATTTTATTGCAGATCATCATCATCTAGCAGGTCCTTTGCAGAACGTCGCTCTCATCATGGTCTGCCTGAAAAAAAACTTGGTCACTCGCTTGCTTTCCCGCCTCATGCACTTTCATACTCAAGGAGTCACTTATATCCTGTGCCTATCTTGGTGTTGGTCGGCCCCTGCCCCCTCCTTCCTGGTACCATGCCTTCTGCTATTATTTTTTTCAATCTGTTGTGGCGCTTGATATGACCAAAATATTTCAGCTTCCAAGACAGAATGCTGTTTATTAGCCAATCTTCCTTGATGTTCAGATCTTTCAAGATGTCAGTATTTCTCCTCTTTTTCGTCCAAGATATTCTGAGAATCTTTCTATAGCATTTCAGCTCAAAAGCCCTTATTCTCTTTCTCAAGGACTGGGATAGACTGCAGATAGATGATATATTAACCTTCTGTGTCTGAATTATTAGTTTAATTACTTCCATCCCTTAGAACTGTGCTGCACACCTTCAGACATTAGTATTAACTGCTTTAAGCTCAACTTCTTGGGATAGTAGGAGTTAATGTAGTACATGTCCAGGACTGAAAGAGTTAAATTTCTTTACTGATTTATACTGATTTCATTAAGTTGATTTTATTACTTTTCACAGAAAATACAGAGTAGTGGCGATGGCAGTAGCAGCTCAGAGGATGATTATTAACAAACCAAGTGATGACAAGACAATGATTACTGTGAGAATGTGGCTGATTTACTGAATGACAGAAATGAAATCTTGTCACAGAATGCTAGGATACAGGCATTTAGCTAACAATACATGTAAGAGCCAACTATGTACATTAGGGGATCTCCATGGTGAAGAAATTAAGCTGTTTGCCTCATACTTTGAAGGTCATGGGTTTGTTTGAAGACTGCATTGTTTGGTTCATGAGTGCCTTTTTAATGAAGAGCCCTAGCGATTATTGCTGGAACTATAGAGTTTGTGTTTTTTTGTGATGCTTTTGGCAAATAAGTCGTTGTTTAGAGAGATCTCATAGATCATGTATGGAAGGAACACGAACACCTGTGCTCTCTGGCAAGACCTGTAAGGATGATGGATACAAACATCACAAAACAGTGAATATGAGAGATTAGTTTATTGGCTGTCTTCAGATCTCAAACCCGGTTAAGCAAACCATTATCAGTTATACAGTTCTCAGGAATCCTAGATGTGTTAACAAATTACACCATTCCGGTGATCTTCAAATATGTTGTACACTTCTTAAGATCCAAGATTTCTTCTTCTGCATTTTCACATAAAAGAGCCGCAGGCACATTGTCAGACCCAGGCTTCATGGGTGGTTGTAAACATCTTTAGGAATGAGCAGGCAGACAGATTGGCTGGGGAGGCCCGACTTGAGGGAGTACTACAACAGCACAAGGCAGGGATGATTACTTACTTACCTGTGGGACGAGGTTACAACATGGAAGATATTGAAAACCTGCACCTGAAGAAAATGATGCAGCGGGAAGTGTTTGTGGGTTCTGCGCTCCACATGAGACTCAGAGAAAAGACAAGACAAATAGTTAACTAGACAACAGCAGGTACTAGAGTGTGGAGACTCTTCACTGGCTGTTGAGAAGGGAGACCGAGTTAATAGGGGCTTGTCCTATACGCTGTAATGATGAATCTTTACCCAGATGAACCCAGTACAACTGTGTGCACCTTTTAGCCCAAAGCTTAATGTCAGCAAGTCTGTAATTTGTCACATTTTTAAAACATGTTTGTTAAAGAGCAGCGGGTCTGATTTATACCCCCTTCCCCCCAATCCCCCACATAAATGTTGCTCTGGTATCCACATATGGAAATCCAAGATATAAATAAATGAAATGCAAACATCAGCATTGGAAAGTTGGAATAAGACACTTTCTGAATTATATTGACAGACAAAGAATGAAATGGTTCAGTCATCTAGTGAGAATTCAGCCAGACCAATCTGCCTGTGAGATTTCTTACAGCAGAACATGGTCAGTTATTAGGGGCAAGGGAAGTGCATGGGCCTTCACAGTAAGCTCAAGGGGAAAATCATCAAGGAGATGAATGGCGCCTTTGCTGTTACAACTAGTAGCCTTACAGTGGAAACTATGGCTGTAACAAGGGCTTTAGCATGGCTTGGTACTCAAAAGTTCACACACGTGTGCATTCTTAGTGACTCAGTGAATATGCTTTAAAATAATTTAAGCTGGATTTTGCTGGTGTTCAAGGGAACGAACATGCAGACTATCTTGCTGACACTGCAGTTGATATGGCTGGTCTAGTACTGGACAAAAGTGATGTTATCAATGCCATGGGCTGCACTTACCGTAGCGAGGAGCGCACCAAAGTACATGACTCCGTATCCCTGTCTAGATTGATGGACATGGGGGTGCAGCCTGGAGCTGCAAGAAATGAACATTTCACTAAGGGGACAAGACGTTTCATTAACCAACACAAACAGGTATCATCAGTCGTTTTACACTTGTGGATCTTTAGAGGAGGAGATCAGAGCACCTATAGATCTGTGCTGTGATGATAATCCTTTCTAATCACTATTTTGGGAGGAAGGCAAGGGGAGGGATGATTTCACCCATAAGCCAAACAATGATGTCACTCTAACAATACACCCTAAATTAACTATGTTAGTTGTGTACAGGACGTTGCAGAACCAACTCCATCATTTTTTTGCTGTTGTGGTTTTTCCAAGCAATTTTTTTTTACAATCTGTAGTTTGCCGATGCTTTCAAATTCGTCAGCTTTTGGTACCACTCTTGAAACCAACACAAGACAATCAGTTCGCACCTGGATAGAACCCGGCACCCAGGCATTACAAAGCTCATTCCAATGCCTACGCCACAGACAGTGACAAATTAACAACACTACTTCCAAATCCAGGAAATGGTCATTGAGATTTTTTAATAATTTGGGGAAGGTATTACAACAAATGCTTTGTCCGTGGCTTGGGCGTTGTGAGTCTGACTCATAATTCAAACATACCGTGATTGAAACCCACTGCTGGCTGAGTGGATTTTTATCATGCTATGGGTTGTCTCAGGTCGACCCAGCCTAAAATGGTTACCAGGATGGCTGTCCTGGGGAAGTAAAGACAGCCAGCGTAATGCTGACCACATTACCCACCCAGTGCCGATTGGTCTGTAAAAATATGAGTGCTCTTCCCATATGCCCCGATGTGCCTCAAGGCGTGAAAAGAGATATATTTTTACTATATTTACTATTACAACAAAGGTTATTTCTCATTCTAACAAACCTCTACCTCTTCACTATTGCAGTTAAGTGCTTGAAACGGCACACAGAACACCATTAGCTAGTCATACAGGAGTGGCCTTGACCAAGGCAATACTGCTGTCACACCTTTACCGACCAGACTACTTACTGCAAAGCCGTTTAAAAAAAAAACCTGCAGAATTTAGACCATCTGTATCTTTTGAAACATTGGCTGTCAATATATTTTGGACTGTTTTACAGAGTACCTCTTTAAGGTTGAGATATATTTTAATGATGACTGGCTTTTGCAATCACTGGCATTAAGCAGTGCCTTTAAAGAACATCACAGCACAGGGTATAGGACAAGTTGTGTTCTATTTATTTGCAAGGAAATATCAACCTCCCCCCAGATTAAATTGTCAGAGCTTAAAGCTCATTTCAGCTGCCACCAAACAGTTAATATTCTGTATCTCAAATAATAGCTCACTTTCGATTCTTGTTTTCTCTGCATAATTCTGTACCAAAACTAAAGGCAGCAACAATCAAATCTAGTTGTTTACCTTGTTTGGTTAGATACTTTCTCCTTCCTGTGCCATTGAAAATCAAATGTTTCTCACTGTCCCATTTGAAAAACTGTGAATAAACAGATGTCTTATCACAATCCAGCAATATGCACACACAGTAAATGCATATGGCAGTTGCTAGAGGTGCCAAAGCCAACAGTCACCACCAGAAATGCAGTTTGTCATTGATGGAAGTACTTGGTCACAATAAGATGGCTATAAACATGTGAAATAATTACATAGGGTACTTCACCAACCCACACGTAAACCGACTACTGGCCATTTTGAATACAATGATGAAATCACTGCACAAATGAAAAGCAATCCACATTAAAAAACAGCTCACAGGGCTGCACCAAGCATTAAACTCAGTAGCTCAGGCAGCGAAACTGTAGACTTCCATACATATGTGGAAAATGCAGTAGCAAAGTACTGTGGAAAGCAAACATAACTTCGAATCTAAACATTTTAAAGCGCCCAATCCTCCATTTTGGACCGGAAGTTTTGAAAATAAAATCCTACATATCTGTTTTTTGAATAAGTTAATTCCAATTGTTGCTGCTAATTGTCTGCACCCACAACAACGACTAGATATTGTTGATATTTGTTTCACTTCATTCATTGTTGTCCTGATGTGCCAGTATTTGTCACAGAGGAGCTCAAAATCTATTCCTCCATTCCATCCTGTTCAATCAATTCAAAATAATGGATGGAATACAGTCCAGCACCTTGGCCTCTCTCATCAATGTTCCTTTTAAGGTTTCTTTTGGGCATCTTCACTTCCTCAATCCCTTTTTTCCCATTTTAGTGCCTGTCTGGTGATTTTGTGCTCATTTATTATCTTGGTATGTCTACTAAAGCATCCTTTTCTTTGTCTTATAACTGTTGTTAACAGTGGTTACCCAAACATTTCTCTTAATTCTTCACCCCTTCTTAAATTTAGCTTGCGCCGGTGTTGCCTTGATATGTTGTATATGGGACAGTCTCTCTTTATCTGAATGATGCCTGATTTTGATTTTGGAGAGAGCGTGAAGAGGGTGGAGCTACACTTCTCTATGTTGATGCTGACACACCATTTATCAGCCCATGTGGCCATAGCATCTATGGAGATGATTATAAAGACCAGTGGCTGAAATTGACATAAAATTGGCATTGCGAGGCAGCAGAAATAATGCTGTGGGGCCAGATGGTGTATGCTATGGCCATATCAAACAGGTAATGATGAAATACTACGAGTTCTGAGGGACTTTAATGATAGCATCCAAATGTAAAATGTACCAGATGACTGGTAACATGTCTATCTTAGACCATTTCCAAAACCAGGCAGGGATACCTTGCAGCTCAGCAGTTATAGAATCATAACTCTCCAAAATGAGTACGGCAAACAAAATTTAGCGAAGAAAGTTATGTTACACTTAGAAAGAATAGGCATGCTACCGGACACTATGGGCAGCTAGCTATAGGCCATCAAAGGCAACAAGGGACAATACTGGAATATTAGCACATGATGAATATGAAGGATTTAAGTAAAAGCAAGAAACAGTTGCTGTTGCAATAGATCTTGCCTATAACATTGTTGACTTCCCATAACTTATGCAGTGCGTGATGGATTGTGGTGTGAACCCTTGGTTAGCAAATTGTACAGGAGCAGCACTGTTGGAAAGAACAGTGGTATTTTGTTTGGGAACATGGAGAACAGATCCAGTACACATTTTCCCAGAGATCACCATTGTCACCTGTATTGTTTAACATATATACAGCAAGTCTGGAAACAGTTCAGCCCACTGGACCAGGACGAACTTTGACATTTGCAGATGATGTCCTCATGTATCGAAGCGGATCAGACAGGCACGACATGACCAGAGACTTGCAAAGTGCTTTGCATGAGATGACGGAGTAGTGTGAACAGACAAGGTCAAGGGTAAACCCAGAGAAGGCCAGTCTTTTGTGGTGCTCTTTGAATAACAGCACTGGTAAGGAAGACTTGCCCAACATATCCATGAAACGTTTTAATTTTGAAAGAAGAGATAAGTTTAAATACTTTAGGTTTGATCGCAGTCTGTCTTACAAATATCACGTGGAGCAGACTGATCAAATGCAAGCGTGGCCTGGTGGCACTGAAGATGTTAATGGTGACAAACATGAAACTGAGATTATTGGTTTTATTGTTCAACTATTTGGTCCTTTCTGTAATTGATTATGGCCTAGGAATATTAACCCCATCTACTTCACAGTGTACAAAGCTTGAAAGGATTCAAAATGAAGCAATGAGAATCATCTTGGGTTGCACACAGGACACCCCAATTAGAACTGGCTGACATCGGTAAAGTCTAGACTGTCACTGGCGCAAGCCAAGGCCTATATGCGAGTTACCAATGAGGAAAGGCATCCGTTGCATGGTAATTTAAACAATTTAGGAGAATATCGGTTGAAAAGAGGAATGTCATGGATGGCACTAGCTGAAGATACCATCGAGACGGTGGCCTCAGTCAAGCAAATACACAGGTGCCGGAATGGATCGTCACGAACACTCACAACAGCAGTTTCCATTCGGTCATTATTATGTTAGGATGAGAATGCAGAGAGTGGTGTAACGGTATGGCAGAAATAGAGGTACAACAACTGATAGATGGAAAGGCTGGACTAGATGATGCAGCAGTGTACACCAATGGTCTTATGGTTCTGTTCATTGGGGTGTAAGATCTGGCTGGGGATTTTCAGCTAGAATGAAGGGAAAAATTGGGGCAGAACAAAAATGGAGCTTTTTTTAACAACAACTTTAAGCATGAGAATGTAAGTGGAGGCAATCAATGCAGCTTTGAAGTGGATAGCAGAAAACAAAGTTACCAGAGGAATTATTCTGTCTGATTCTCAGTCGGCATTGCAGAGGGTTCAAAATGGACTAATGTGGCATGAGTGGATACCATGCATCAGTATGCCAACATTGCAGGGAATCACGTGGATATACTGTCCGGGACATGCAGGAGTGCGAGGGAATGAAAGAGCGGTTTTTCTCTGGCTGCAAAAGCTATGGGAACACTCATACTAGACAAGGAAAATATTCTGAAGACCATATATGAATGCCTTTGGGCAGAAGACATGAGATCAGATAAAATAACATGGGCAAGAATGTGTGAACGAGGAATTAAGTGTGGATCTAGCAAAGGAGGGATGGATCAGAGAAAGAGATCGGCGTGTGTATAATCAGTGTGCTACGGTAACAGCATCTACACTTTATGTCATTTGCTGCGGGAGACGGAGCATCTATGGGTATGCCTGGTGTGCTTAAATCAGTAATCAGCATCTACAGAGTTTTTTAGCAGTGGAGTGGCCAATGTTGCATATTTATTTGTGCACCATAGTACCAAGTCATCAGTGTACATAGCAGCTTTAAAGCCATGGGGTAGTTCAGCAATTAGGTCATTGATATAGACAAGAAACAGTGTTGGGGACAGGACACCACCTTGGGGAACATCACGGTGCAGCAAGACTTTGCTGCTCTTGAGTCCGTCTATCTGTACTCAGGCTCTTCTGTTATACAAGTATGCTTTCACCCATCTGTACATATTTCCATTCACTTTGTAGTTTCTCAGTTTCTTCATGAGACCTTCTTTCCAAACCTTGCCATAGGTTTTAGAAGAGGAATCATGATTGCTTCTCTCCATATCTGTGGAACTTAGCCACTGGCCCAACAATAATTAAAAATCTCCAGCATTTTTGTTTTTGCTGTTGTCGGTAGGTTCTTGAGTTCGTTGGTTATTCCATCGATTCCAGGCGATTTTCAGCTTCGATATTGCTAACTCTAGTTTGCAGACATAATTGGTGCCTTCATTACCTCAGGAATAATATCGCTTTGTCTTGAGTACTGTCATTTTTTTCTCGAGTCTCTCACTGTTTTCTCTCACTGTTTCTCTGAGCTGACATCAATGTTGCTATCTTCAGCAAATAAATCTTCAAAGTGGTCAGCCGCCTATTTTCTTGTTCGGATGGCTCCTTCTGAATATATTGTAGTATTTGCCTTTCTATCTGTGCTCTCATCATTAATTTGTTTTACCAGTCTTCACAGCTTCCTTCTGTCTTTTCAAAGTTTAGAGACTTTTTTCCTGCCAACTTGCCCTTTTGCAGCTTGGCTCTTTGAAATTAGGCCTTCGCATGTTGGTATTTATTGAATAACCCTAGACAAGGTATTGTCTCTGCTTTCTTTCTTTCTGTTTCCATATCATTGTGCAGTTGCTCTAGATCACAATACTAGTTCGATTTAGCTTACATGCATCTCTTGGTACTGTTTCCAGGGCTGCCAGCAATACGCATTTGCTGAATTCCTCTACTACTTTTTCTGCAACATTATATGTTTTTATATTTTTTCACCAAAACACTTGTACGGCGCTGAAATTCTATCTTGGTAGAGTACTGCTCTTTCTTATAGTGGTCATTCTTTGTACATCAATACTGTTCAATTAACACAGTATTATCTGCACTTGTATGCATGTTCTTATAAAATCCTCTTCTCTTTACTCCTCCTCACACTTTGAATTTCTTTTACTACCAAGACTAAAGGCAACAGCAATCAGATTTATGTCATCAAGTCTGGTAAACATTGTAAATAAATAAATGATTACAAAGATAATCAAATACAGATATTTAGTTGTAAGAAATGGCAAGAATAAAATAAAAACAAATACCAGGGAAAAGTTTGAAATATATGGACACTGCAGTGTTGAAATACATTGTATTTCAGGAAATAATTTAATTTCATTACCTTACTTCAACTCTTGTTTTCAGAACTGTATGTTTCAACAATACATTCTATATTAAAACACAAGGGGGCTTTAAATTAAAACCTCACAAGTATGATATAAATTACAATAAGTATGCCACTGTCTTGTAGCCTGTCAGTATTTTTGTTAAGGATGTCAACAATGTTAAGCATATGATGTCATGGTACAGATGAATATAATAACATCACAGTGACAATTTAAAGATGGCTGCCTCACTTCTGACATGCACCAAAGAGGAGCTGTGTTCTGTTATTCTTTTTGGTTTAAAAAAAAATCCCTTAAGGGATTGAAACCTACAAATATTCATCAGCGAAGAAGGTCCAGTGCAATGCCTGTCAGTCCATCAAGTGTATGAGTGGAGTAGGAAGTTTCAAAATGGCTGGACTTCTGTGACAAACTATTAATGACCGGGTCAGGCCTACAGGGTAGTATAAAGTCTGTCACACTATTTATTTGCTTGGTCATGTTTGCCATTTGCGATTGTTTCTGCATGTTACAATCACCCTTTTATTGTTTATTCTAATTTCATAAAAATAACTTCAAACAATAAGAAAATTACTCTGAGCATCACTTTTGTTTTGTTTCTTCAGCTGACTTGTTTTTATGTACAGTTAACATATAAACTTCATTTTGTTGTTATATAAATTATAAGTTCATAACTCATAAATGATAATTTTTTTCAAAATCAATTTTTATTCTTACCAGTACAGATTTAACAATAATGAAATATTTTAGTGCTTTCCAGTATTAAGCAGCTCACCATATGTTTTCTAATTAATCTGCCACAGATATTTATGAACGCCCACCATCCCATCCCATATTTACGTTATGTTAATCAATTCTGTCAAAAATATTAAAGTAATTTATTCTTGATTATGTGCATAATTTAATCTCGCAAGACTAAAGACTGAGCTGAGTTGAGTCAAGAATTGACATCACAGCACTCAGGCTTTCCCATGCATGCTCTATCCTTATCTTCAGCAACCAGCGCAGAGTTCCAATACTGATGGTACCGGTCACAATTTGGTTACATGCCCGTCTTGCCTTTCCTCTGAGTGTAGTGAGCCGGCCAGATTCTTTAAAACCCAGGTGCTTCATTCTCTCCAGGCCATAATAATCTTGTTTCTCTACTGATTCTGTTGCTTGTTCCCAAAGGGCCTTGACCACATCTGTCTTGTCATGTATCAATTCACCACCCAGTGGTGCAGATCCAGCCAATATGTCCTTCTGTTCATTACCCACTAAGCCAGCATCGCCTGGAGAAAAGATCTAAAGTATGCCCACTACCCGTGACCTTCCCAGTGAAGCTTGCCACTCTGCTCAAAGCATCTCTGTCTTCACCTTTCTCAGCATGCCTTCAGAGTCTGTTACAATTACAACATGTGTATACATCTTGCTGACTAAAGACCGTTACTCTACAGAATAAACATTTTGTAAACATTGTACTGAAGTAGTCTCCTGGAACTGAAGGAGCAAGTTCCATTTCAAATATCTTTAAAACGGCAAACATTTCTAACTTCAAAAAACAAAAGAATTACTATGAATTCTATATTCTTGATCTAATTATTTTCATGATTATTAACTGCTTTGAAATCTTTTGGATGGTAACACATGTTTTTAAATCTTTTGCTGATGCTTATCTATATTATGAAATACTTCTTGATGGTTATTCATTTAATAAAGTATTTCTTGTTTCTAATTCATGTCATTAAATATGTAAAAAAAAATATTTAAAAAACCACCAATTAACATCATGTCATATTTCTTGATTCTAATTCACCTTACATAATATTTTACAACAGCATAATAAATATATTTCCTGATGCCCCATTTCTCTACTCAGATCATGGTGTATAGTATGGCCATGTGTGCTGCTTTGATCAGTTTATCCATCCGCTCACAGACTCAGACTCAGAAATTTTGCCATGTCCTGTTTCCTGACCAAACAAAGAAGGATTTTTGTTTTACATTTTATTAAAAAAAAATGACAATGCTTCTATGATGTCCTGATATAAGAAAATGCCTTGTAATTGCCACACTAACTGCTGTTTGTTTGAAAAAGAAATACTGATATATTTACTTATAAGTTAACTGTTAGCTAAGCGTCTGAGAAGATACCATATCAGAAACATGTGATGGCAACAATGGTACTGAAATCTCAGTCATTTATTGTGGAAAATTCTTCTTAACTTGAGCAGGTCTTGCTAGCCAGTCATACTCACCATGGGCAGTGAGTCCCATGCCTCCCTATAGCACAATAGAACACTATCCTCTGGACAGATGGAAAGGTTCTAACCAATAAGTTCACTGTTACTTGTAAATTACTGACATCAGAAGCTTGTTGATTACAAGCATCAGAAAAGGGCAATCAAAATTCTCTGAGCATATCATGAAAAGGTGAAAAATACAGTAAATGGAAAGCTGGAGGTAAGCGAAAGGCAGGTTACAGAAAAAGGGAGTATGTTGGACCTTTTTCCATCATGGCATAGAAAGACATAGGCGGCGTCCGTGGCTTAGGCGTTGCGAGTCCGACTCGTAATTCCAATGTACGGCCATCAAAACCCACTACTGGCTGCGTGGAATTTTTATCGTGGTATGGGTGTTGCATGTCGACCCAGCCTAAAATGGGTACCAGGATGGCTGTCCTGGGGAAGTAAAGACGACCGGCGTAATGCTGACCACATTACCCACCTAGTGCCGATTGGTCTGTAAAAATATGGGTGCTCTTCCCATATGCCCGATGCACCTAAAAGCGTGAAAAAGGATCTTTACTTCTTACTTACTATAGAAAAACATGAATATCAGAGATGTTGGCAGTACAGGAGGCTGTGGCTAGACAAGTGGAACTGAACACTTGAAAACCAGTTTGGTAGTGGCATGGTAGCTACATTAACATCACATCCATCTGTTTGTACATTCTGCAATAAATTATACTTGTAATTTCTCTGTCTGTTTTCATAACGGCTGGTCGAATGGTTAGAATACTTGGCTCTTATACTGAAGACCTGGATTTGAATCACAAGGTGATGGAAATCCTAACCTGTGCAGTTTGTGGCTAATGCACTAACTATGTGGCCCTAAATACCCAGGCTAAAGGCAATCCCCAGCCCCCCCCCCCCCCTCCCCCAACCATCTGCACCACCCAAAAAAGTTGTAATTACAGGCAGTAAGGAAAGATTCAGTAATACCTGAGGCTGTCAATATCTCATTATTTTTATGACATTCTCTTTCCGTGATATTCTCAAATTTTTCTTAAAAATATAATCCCAGCTTCTTCTGAATTCCTCTTCACTTTATTACTCACACTGTCAATTATTTACATCTACACAAATAACAGGACCCAAATAACTTTTCATGGAGTGGATATTTGTTGTTGTGATATTTCTGCTTGTGCACTGTATGCTCAGAAACTATGTTTACACTAACCTGAAAGTGTTTCCATGAGCACCACCAGCCAGGTAATCCCGTTCACTAGTGGACAAGGTGTTGACCAATGCTCTACCAGAGCTACCATAATGGTCAACTCCAGGGCCACCAATTTCTCCGCCCCAAGGAGATCGAAGTCCATGAGGGCCACTAGATGGACTAGATACAGAGAAATTATATAAAGAAATTATATGAGTTAGTATCTAGATAAGGTATCTTTTTACACATTTTGAAGCACTTACAGCATGTTTTGCTCCCCCCTTTTCATATAGACAAATCAGAAATATTATATCTCAGTATATCTGCAGATTACAGAATTTGGTATTACTCAAGAAAATCACTCCATTTCGTTGCCGCAAGATTTTATAGAATTTCCATGGGTTGTCCTATGTTCTAAGGGTGTTATTAGATGTCTTCCTTTACCGCTTATACACAGTGCGCTAAAAAGTGGTTCGAGTTCATTCGATGTGGTCGACACGCTGTCTCCTAAAGGAATGTGCGCAGCTTTCTTTTTGCAATTCTTTTTCTGTGAATGACTGTTGTTTCTGGAATGTGTTGTTGTCACCAGTAGGTCTCAGGCGCTGAGGCGCTTGCATGCAAGGAAAAAGTACTGCAGGGAGAAGCGTGGAAGGTACTATGGTTCCTGAGTACGGAATTATTGATGTTTTTGTATTTTTTGCGCTCGTTGGCGGTGGCTGCCATCGGGGTGGATGTGCTTAAAACATTCAAAATGAGAAACACGTGACACCCCTAGACTATAGGAGTGTCCCGGGAAATTCTGAAATTTGGAGCACTTTACTTCTCTTACACTCTAAATGCAGTAGCAATGGAAAATTTTCTGTGTAAACTCATCAGAATCGCTAGAATCCCTAACAGCTTATCGCTCAGCTGCCACTGGTGAAAATTCACCGTCCGAATCACTTTCCAAAAAATCTAAATTTTCATTATCAGAATTAAAAACATCTGACAGAAACAATTTCAGTGCTTTGGCTGCAGAAAAACACATTCTGTGATCTGTACTTGTTTGTGGTTGGAACATTGGTATTCATGGCACTCAAAAACTAACTTCGAAAATGCACTGTTAAAAATAATGTAGCTATGAAGCCCATCAATCTATGCACATGTGTCTTGGGATATGGAAAGTTATTAAAAGGAAATAGTCAGAGTAACCTTCCCTGAATACTTTAATGGTATTTCCTAACATTAACAAGTACGGAGTCGTGTGAGGAGCAATATGTACGGGACACAGGACTGACGCTGACAGTGTTGTCTGGGCAAATCAAAACTTCTCATTAACCACTCACAGCATTGCTCAGGCCTTAAAGAGTTAAAAATATTCTGTTGACCAGTCTAAATTCTTTTAAACTTAAGTCTGAACAGCCTCATATTTAACCTATATAGTGAGTTTAGAGAGATTTTAACATGCACATATCAGAAACAGTGATATATATATATATATATATAGTTCAGAGCAAAGTTATATTCTAATTTGATTTCAGAAGCAGTCGACAACTGATATTTATAGATTCTTCCGCCTTGTTCACCGTCCAAGTCTTCGTGTATTAGGGATGGACATATCCTTGTAGTAGTAGGATATCACTTGCATTTCACTTATGTAGTTTAGCCAGCCTGCCAAGACTTGCCTCTGGTGTGGCCACCGCCGTACACAAGAAGTATTTATGGTGCCATACATGAGCTAGATAAAGAGATTGGAACCAAACAGGATCCTTGACTATCATTACTGGAGGGAAAAGTTGAAGGCAAAAGAGCAATAAGTGGGCAAAGATACAAGTGGGATGTAACATCAAGAGATGGATGGGCATCAGTTTAAGAAAGTGTACAACCAGGACAAGAGACAGAGCATGTTGGAGATTCATTGCAGCCAACCTTGACTTTGAAGATGGCACCTGATTGACTGATATCCATAGATACTCAGTCACCTGCGGCAAATGTTTCAAGGTGTAGATGCTAACTGTTCCATTAGAACACTGGTTGTACACACATCAATTCTGCCGTCTTCGAGGCCGAGAAAGGAGACAATATAACCAGCTTCTCATGGGGACAATTAATAGAAGTACTTTAGAGTGGCTGCTGCTTCGGAGAACTGAGCATGCATGGGTATGCCCAATGTGCAGTGACATTAATTGTGATAACAGAACATAAAATAACAACTTAGTAGGGAGTCGGCAGTACGAAACCCAAGTTCAAGGTGTCTCCTTCGTGCCAAAGAACTGCATGGCTGTTGGGTGAACAGTCGTTAACGATGGCAGGCAGGTCGTTGTAGGGGCGACGCCTGCTGGTGGATGTAATGTCCTAAGTCCCTTCCCCAGCTAATAATGAGGGTACTGCTGGGGTGACCGTTTATTAACCCTCATATAATTCTTCCGGTCAAAATGGACGCTAGGTACGGCCACCCCTTTTTTTTTTTTTTTTTAAAGCCGTGGCAAATATTTTTTTTTTCCAGACGGTGGCCATTGCATTTTTGTTCCATTTGTAGACTGGAAAGGATGTAGTTTCGTCGCCCAGCTTCTGAGTTGAGTGCATGGCGTGACACTGTGAGCTGCGTTTGTTTTTCGTTGGCACAGGAGCGGAGCATATGTGGGGTGACCCGTTTGCCATGAAGCTGAAACTAGGATTACCAGATTACCAGATTACATCAATTCTTTTTTTTTTCAACTCTGGTAATCAAAAGTATTTACAATTATCTCAGAAAACATGTTTTTTTGCAGCATCCTAAATATTCCTTAATTGTTCACATTGCAAGATTTCACATTGCACTTTGATACTCTCTGGCTTTGAATAAAAGGGAGTTTTTTGTTTTTAAATAGAGTACATAAAGAACAGTGGCACTAGTTCATACCTAAATCTGAAGTCTCGAGGTATACTCATTCCACGAAGAAAATCTAGTCTTGACTTCATGACTTGTTTCTGAAAATCTCTCTTTGCTTTGCCATAGCCATTGAAAATATGGTCACAAAATATTAAGTTTCCACCTGCATAAATCTGCAAGAATAAGCAAAAAAGGAAATTATGCACGTCTTTTAAAAAAAGTTGTAATCTGACAATGAAAAAGCGATCAGAATTTCGAGTTCAGGCCCTGGAGATGTATACATACGGAAGAATGTCTTGTATTTTGTGGAAATAAAACAAAAAACAATGCAATAATGTCATTCTAGGCCAGTTGGGAATAAATAAAGTATAGAAATAAAAAAAGGAGACAAATGAACAAATGACTTTGGCTACATTAAGAAAGATGGCACTCATAAAAGCTCTACTGGAGGGAAAGCACAAGTTAGTTAAATAAACAACTGGTAAGGTAACATCAACAGGTAAAAAAAATTAAAAAACCCCAGCTTGTTTAATTGTACAAGCAGGATAATAAACAATGTTGGAAATCACTGCAGTCAGGAGTGATGGAACCTAAAGGGAGGAGGCGGGGGTGCTGGAATGAGGGGGTTCGGGTGCTCAGAAACCTTGAGTTTCATCCCCAATTTTTTTTTAGGGAATAGACTTTCACTGACCCCCCCCCCTAATCCTTTTCAGAAAATTTGCAATAGGGTTAACTGGCCACTCTAACCATATACAGATATTCCCTTGTTTGAAGTATCTGTTTTTACAGATCTATTATATAATATTTACCATTTGGAACATAATAATTATTACTGTTACTGTGCAGTAAAACAAGACTTAAGCCAATTTAATGTCCTCCCCACCACCACTATGGTATCTTTACCATGTTTGATATTGCCCATATGTTAGCTGGGTCCATACGAAAAGCAAAGAATAGTATTACTTAACCTTTAAACACAAAGATATACATATACATACAAAAAGACAAACTTGTACAAAAATACTGTACACAAATCACATTGTCTCTTGTTACACTGTACATCCTTATAACAGAAGTAGTGGCAGTTCAGATGTGCAATCCAACTTTATGTAAACCAAAGGATCATATCATCAGGCTTAGACTTCTGTGGTGTTAACATGACTAATCTTATATTTCTGTTGATACCTAACTGAAGACAGATCTTCTCTGAGTATTTCAGCTCACAGAATTCATGTCCTGTGCTTCATTATATTAATGTAAACTCTGCAGTCATGTATCTTGTAAGATACAGTGAGTTAGGAGTTAAAACCTGACATCATACATAACATTTAAGACATTCCTATAAGTGCTGCATCCTCATCTTCACCAGCAAGCACAGAGTTCCTATTGCAATGACACCAGTAACAGTCTGATTATATGTCCACCTTGGTCACTCCTTGCTGCACCATTCTCTTCATAACATGAGATCTGCTTGTTCTTCCACACTGTTTACTCAATCAATCCCAAGGGGCTCTTACATCATCTAGCTTGTAATGCATCAGTTTACCACCAAGTGGTGCAGAACCAGCCAGTCTATCTGCCTGTTTATTTCCCAATCCACCTGCATTTCTGGAGAAAATATCCAAAGGATGCTAACCATCCCGGACCTGTGAAGCAATGCTTACAACTTTGCATGGATCATACCTGTCTCCATCTTTCTTAACATGCTCTGTGAGTCAGTTACATTCACGACATGTTTGTATAGCTGGTTGTTAAGTCAAATGAAGGCTGCAGTGACAGTCTCAACTTTCATTTTCAAATCAGATATTGTCGTATCATATGTCAGGCTTTGTTGCACTAAACAGCGACTATTTGCTATGCTATGAACCCTCATGCCCTTCTTCTGTCTCTCAACACAGAGTCGCAACACAGAGTCTCAACACAGAGTCTCAACACAGAGTCTCAACACAGAGTCGCAACACAGAGATGCAATGAAATATGTCAGGTGATAAACTGTACACACACAAAAAAGACAGACTCTCACCAGAAACATGCCAGGTACAACATTGTGCTGGCTCAGCAGGTAAGGCAGTGTATGATCAGAACCTTCCATGGCGGTGTTGATGTCATATCTCAGTAATCGGAATGTATCAGAGTGACATTGGAGGCATGGCCGGGTCCGACTTCGGTTCTGATTCTCATATATTTGATTGAGCATTGTTTCTGCAAGGTTCGTTTCAGGGTAACTGAGAAGAGAAATGAAAAATTACAGAATATACTTTCTGAACAGAATGTCAAGAAAGAACAACAGTAAAGGACTTTTCCCACGCCTAAAGGCATACTGGGCATTTAGGGCAACACCTATATTTTATGGGTGATGAACTCCTTGTTGTTCCAGGTTCACGCCCAGGGGTAGGCAGAAAAGCCACATTTCACCCAGATTTACAGTATTTATCATGGAATCGAGGCCGAAGGGTTGTGATATCTATAGTACCGAGCCAAAGGGTTAAGAACTCATGGTTTCTGGATTTTTAAAAAAAAATAAATCATGCATTTGGTGGGTGATGTGATCCCAGGGCTGTACCTGGTACTCAATCAAGGCTGGGTCAACCTGACAGCCAATGTCATTTTGAAAAAAAAAGGTCTTCTTCGTCAGGACCTTAACACATGTGTCTAACTGTTACTCCACAGTGGCTCAGGAAAGAACAAAGCAATATATCAAGAAATGCAGATGAAATACATCACTTATGTCAATAATAGTACAGAACCCGTTTGATTTCAGTGGCACACTTTGCAAATGGTACTAGACCCATATGTCTTAACATCACACCAGCTATCTTTATTTCTCCAGACATTTCCTAGTACCCATTTTAGGATGAGTCCACTCAGAAGCCAAGGTCATAAATATAAAATAAGCTGTTAATGTAGACAAATAAAAGGGATATCACTCACTTTGATGATACAACAGCAATTATCTGCAGCTGGTTTTCTGGGGCCACTTTACTAATGTATGTTTCATATTCTATGTCCATAATGTATGGTATGACATCACGGCTACAGCGACACTGAGAACTTGAATCTCCCAGTAGCTGATAAGAATAAAGTACAAAAAATAAAAAAATCTGTAGAAATTTACATATTTGTCTAGCGAGAGGCAAAATACTGGACAACAAGGAGAAAGATGAGAACAGAAATGTGGTAAGGACAATAAGTAGTTGCCTGCTAAACTTAAAAAAAAGCATCAGTAAAGAAAATACAAAGGCTCTTCTGGTGCAGGGGTCATTACATATTTTTATGACCCAGGCAATGAATATGTGAATAGTGAGTTAAACAACATAAAACCAAATAGGCAGCACCAAGCCAGACCAAGTGCACAAACTAAAAGTCCTATTCTGGATTAAACAAATGGAACATAATCATCACATTCAACATCTTTTTTTTTTTTTCTGAAAACAAAACTAGTGTGCTTCGTCGATAACAATACATTAACAATCAATACATTAACAATCAATAACGTGTTTCAACATAACATGCACCTATCACTCTAGCTAACAAAGATGAGAGTTCACTTTCACTTCAAGGTAACCTACTCTCAGAATCTTTGCGCGAGGATGCACATAGCATGGAAATCTAGATCTAACACAACTGATTTACTGAATGTACCGCCAAAACATGAACCAGTGAGCCAGTTCATGTCTCTTAACTCAGGTTTGCCTATCTACATTGCACTAGGAACCCTCTATTGTTATGCAACAAAAAGTCAGGACTACACATTTCTAGTGTCACTGCCACCGACCAAAAAGGAAGTTTTCTCCTGCGCCAGGCTCAATATCAATTTTTTGACTCGCTGGGCACTCTCTGAGAGTTTCAGTCTGCAGACCTGCCAGTTTGAGTCAAAATCATTATAACTGGCAAACAACCTTCTCCACCAGTAGTGTTGTATAATGTTATTCCCTAAATGTATTCATTACCTACAGTTTAATTTACAATAAAACTTCTTCAGCCCTGTATCCTTTAGTGAAGCCCAGGCTCTCAACCAACACACAGTGAGTCATTATATCCTTCACCATCGCCTGCACCACATTCCATAGACATACACATGTATATGTATTTATAAATATAATAGCTATTTGGTATGTTTTGTTTCAAAAGTAATTAGAATGCCAATTTAATCTAACATCTGTATATACACTTATAGTTATTAATAATATTTTATTATTTCATTAACACTGTACACTCCTTCCATAATTATTATAATCAGTTTGGATAAACATTAACTATGCTTTAAGAATGTACCTGTTTTCTGAGAACCACTGGACACAAACTGAGCTGCATTATCTTGTTTTCTTTCTCTTGAATGGTGATATTTGTTGGCTGACGTGAAACTGCTGACTTTCTACTGCTGCTGCCAGACTTATCTCTAATGTTTGATCTAGAATGATATACAGAAAAATCCTGTACACATAAAATATTATGGGCATGAAGTAATTCTGATTTCAGAATAATTCATGTTAATTCTTAAATTAACACACAGACACACACAACAAGATCTTGAACTAATTCTGTTAATGCAGTTTTTATACTGTATCTAAAATATAATACACATGTTTTCAACTGTGCACACGGTGTAGCTTGGACGTTCATTAGGCCCATGGTGAAGCATTCCCTGATGATGGTTCTATGCAGGATCTCTCTTGGTCTTCCCCTTTTTCTTGTTCCTTTCAGTGAGGTCAGGAATCTAAACAGAAATCCAAGCTTCTTGAAAGGGATTCTTTTTTTCCCCCTCATTCTTCTTCTGCGTTAACCCTGAAAATGGTGATTGGCACATTGTTTGTGATTTACAACTAAGCCACGATATTGGTGCCTTTTGGCCCAAAATAACCAATCTCAGCAAACGCTTCATTATCACTTTTTATGACATGCTTGTTAACCCTGTCACACTAAAAAGGCTAAATCTAGTCACTTCTGGTTGTAACACAGTCTGGCAAAAATGCAGACACATGGCCAGGTCTGCGGAGACATGCTCTCGAAAAAGTTCAAGGATTTTCTTTTCATATATTCCTATGGGTTCATGACTCCCCTTTTTTGAACAAAGAAGACCCAAACAATAGATTGCACAATTTATTGCCTGATAGATTTCACTGTATCTCGTTAGGTGCATACTACAGTAACAATTACATAAATGAAGCAAAAAAGTGAATCCTTTATAAATGAAGTACAATTTCAACAACGATCAAATAAAGGATTCACTTTTTTGCTTCATTTATGAAATTGTTATTGTAGTATGCAACAGTGCAATGTGCCAGGCAATAAATTGTGCAATCTATTGTTTGTGTCTTCTTTGTTCAAATTTACAATGGGGAAACATTGTTTTGATCCCCTTTTTTTTGGTTAGCATTCATAAGTTGAAAGAGTAAAGGGCAGCGGGTCTATTACTTTTTTGCTGGAGAAATATGCCCCAGAACCCACAGAGAGAGAGAGAGAGAGAGAGAGAGAGAGAGAGAGAGAGAGAGAGAGAGAGAGAGAGAGAGAGAGAGACTAACAAACATAACCACTGATCTTGCAGGCATGCATGCTAGCCTAGTGCTGTCATGGCTCCCTTTGAGAAATACACATACATTATTCTTTAAAAATTCACTATAGCTTTAAAAAAAAAACAATGAGTAAAAAGTAGATAGTTGAACACACACATGACATTAGGAAAGAAAACTAGAGGAAGGTAACATAGATTCTTACTCTGACAAATTGGAAAGTTGATCAATAAATGATGAAAATGTCAAAACAATATCTGCTTCTTGTCCTTCTTTCTCAGAGTACTCCACACTCTTAGAAAACTTTACAGAAGGTGCTGAACTCAAGATGGCTATTGTCGGTGCAACTTCAGTGCTGTTGTTTCTTGTTTTTAAGCTTGATGATTCTGAAGAATTGTCATATCTCATTAAAAGTAAAAAAGTAAAGTTCCCTTTTTCACGCCTTTAGGCGTACAGGGCATATAGGGCTAGACCTATATTTTAATAGACCAATCGGCACAAGATGGGTGATGAGCTCAGCATCACGCCGACATCACATTAGCTTTATTATATTTGTTCTAAAATTAAGGAGGCTGGTACTAAAATAATAAAGCTTCCAACATTTAATGCCAAATTCCCATTGTGCGTGTGAAAGATAATTTTATTATATGTCCTGCTGGTAAACATGAGCAATCCAATTCCACCATCTCACACAGTCAACTGCTGAGCCTAAAATCTTTACCTCCCAAAAACATATTCTGATCTCTTATGTTATATTACATAATTACAATCAACTTCACTGCACATGTGGCATTACCATGCATGCTCAATTGTCTGATGCAGCAGCCACAGCAAGGTACCTCTTCTGATTGTTTTCCTTACAAGCAAGATGTTGTGAGGGCCCTCTGGAAGCAAGTGAGGAGGCACAAACAGATCATTATGGTCTGAGGAGAATGATGATCTGTCCACTGCTCAGCATTCAAGGATAAGGCGAGACGAATGTACAATCAGACAGTTAATGGTACCATCGGAACTGGAACTCTTTGCTTGCTGCTGAAGATGAAGACAGATCGCTTATGGGAATGTCCTGAGTGCAATGATGTCGATTCTTAATTCAACATTCTTTCATGACAACCTGGTTACAGTGTCACCTATCCTGACCTCACCAGGCTTCACTCTAAAGTTGTCAGCACACTAGAGAGGTACTTCTGTTATCTATTTTAGGCTAGGTAAACCTGGAAGCCACTGTTAGTTTTAAAAACTATTTCCATCTTCAGTGAAGATTCAAAGCCTTAACTCTTTCAGTACCAGCCAATTCACTTGGAATTTACTGGTTACTTCCCATCCTGCATGATATGTTTGTCTAAACGCTTTGTTCTTTATATAACTATTATAGTGATGTCTCAACTGCTACTTTAACTCAGGTTGTCTTTCACTGTTGTTTTTTTTAATCCATCTGGAGCTTAAAACTCATTACAGTAGGTAAAAATCACTTGGAAATCAATGAATTAAAGTGATGCATGCCTGTAAGTTAAAGAGTAACCAACAGAGAGTAACCAACAGAGAGTAACCAACAGAGAGTAACCAACAGAGAGTAACCAACAGAGAGTAACCAATAGAGAGTAACCAACAGAGAGTAACCAACAGAGAGTAACCAACAGAGAGTAACCAACAGAGAGTAACCAACAGAGAGTAACCAACAGAGAGTAACCAACAGAGAGTAACCAACAGAGAGTAACCAACAGAGAGTAACCAACAGAGAGTAACCAACAGAGAGTACCCAACAGACATACAAGCTAATGTATTATTACTGAATTAGAAGATGGACCCACTTGAAGGTGCTGAAGGTGATCGGGCTGGTCCAGGAACACCCCTGTCTTCCTTTCTGTCAGCCGTTTTGGCAGACCACGTTTCTGTGCGTGGTTTATGTGGAGTATCAGAGATCTGCCTCAGTGTGGGAGACTGCAATCCTATGGTGATTCTGTAATGCTCTAGCCAGTCATCAACTAGATTTCTGTGAAGGGATGACAACTGTCATTAACTCTTTGAGTCCCAGGGGGTTTAGCATCAGAAGCCAAATGGTGGCAATGCAATTTTAAAATTTCACAAGTGTAAGACATTAAAACATACTACTAATTCAACTGCCATATTATATACATATTATACATCAAAGTGACCAGGGATTGTTGAGAAATAGTATTAGAATACTGCAACAAAAAAACAACAACTGTATCAGTAGTTAATTATTAGTAAGTAAACAGATGGTATGTTTAGAGAAATTAGTTTTAAAAAAAATTATTTAAAAAAAATGTTCACTTGCCACCTTTGGAGGTTAAAGTTCAGAGGACTGACTTCATTGCACCGGGTGTTTTATCTCTCTCAGCAGAAAGAGTAGCTGCCGTAGGCTGAGAGTGCTATACAAAGCATGAACTCCATGGCTCCGGCGATGATCCCCAGGGATCTCCATAAAAATTGCACTCATGAATTGAAGGACGCAGTCGTGAAATGAACCCACAACCTTCAGAAAGTGAGGAAGGAAAATGACCTGACCACTTCGCCATGAAGACTGACCCCCCCCCCCCCCCCTTCCATAGTATTAGAGAAGATGTAAGTATCTTCTGAGTGCTCTTTCTAAGGCATTGCATAAGTTGATCTTCCTTTCTAAAATTTTTCTCCTCCTAGGAATTTCTTACTTGAACATTTCATATGTCAAATTATGTGTACTTTTGACATACAATCTTTGTGTCTGACTGAGGTAAAATAACAAAGATAATGCACAGAAGGGATACACAGAAAACCTTTACTAGAATGGAGTATTTTAACAGAGGATTTTAGTAGAAGAAATTCAGGAATGTATGCAATGGTATAAAGCAAAAATATGCACAGGGTGTGTTGCTTGTAACTGTTGGGGCTATCAATGACAAAAATGTTCCATCTTTTGAGTAGTCTTTCCCTTGATCTGGGGGAGGGGGGAGGGAGGAGAAGAAACTCTGTGACGAAGTGGTCAAGGTGTTTACCCCACGCTCTGAAGGTCTTGGGTTCATTTCCCAGTGGCACCGTTCAGTTCACAAGTACAATTTTCAGGGAGATCCCTAGGGATCGTCAGCAGATCTATGGAAGTCAAGCTCTGTGTGATACTTTTAGAAGGCAGCTAGCTGTTCTGCAGAGAGAGACTGAGCCATATGGGATAAAACCCTGTGTAATGAAGTCAATCCTTCCACCTTGACCTTGACCCTTGCTCTGTGTTCTTTCATGCAAACCAACATACGTTTTGCTTACCTAACCTTTCTCTGAAGTCTTGCCAGTTCTTTGTCAGACTCAAGATCATACAGAATCTTGTCTTGACTGTCCACTGACTTGACTAGTTCTGCCAGTTGTTTTGTGAGTTTATCCTGTGAAACAATGTATGATGATATTATATGTAAGATGTTATTAACTCTTTGTATCCCGAGCAATGCACTATGTGTAAAATAAATTTTCTATCTGTTGTAAGAAATGGGTAACCTTTCCGGTTTACCTGTCCTGTGTATTATTAAACAAATTAATTATGTTTCACCATTGAATTATCACTCGTGGGTTCGCTCCCTGGCGGAGTATGACTTTTCTTCAAAAATGACCTTGGCTCCCAGGTCGACCCAGCTTGAGTGGGTACCGGGTGCAGTCCCGGGAAGTAGAGGCGGCCGGCATGATGCTGACCACATCACCCATCTTGTGTCGTTGGTCTATAAAAATATAGGTCTAGCCCTATATGCCCTATAGGCCTAAAGGCGTGGAAAAGGGTCCTTTACTTTTTTTTACTTTTTTTATTGAATTACCACAGGTTTCAACCCTTATTGCTTAATAAAAAATAAAAAAAAGACAAGGGATGGCTGTTCTTCTTTGGCACATTTCAAAAGTGTAATGACTTTCTTTAAACTATCATTATGATGTCACAATTTGTCTGCACCATGAAGTCATGTGCTTAACACTCTTGACAGCCCTAACAACAATACTGACAAGTTATAAGACAATGGCATAGTAACTGTAATTTCTAATACATTTTTAAGGTTTTCATGTGAATTCCCTCATAGAGGTAATGACAACAACACATTGCCTGTATTCTCAAGATGTAATGACAACACACATTACACTAGCTCTATTGTACAGATGTGATGACACAACAGATTACATTGTCTGTATTCTATAGATGTAATGACAACACACATTACACTAGCTCTATTGTAAAGATGTGATGACACAATAGATTACATTGCCTGTATTCTATAGATGTAATGACAACACACATTACACTAGCTCTATTGTACAGATGTGATGACACAATAGATTACATTGCCTGTATTCTCTATATGTACTGACAACACACATTACACTAGCTCTATCGTACAGATGTGATGACACAACAGATTACATTGCCTGTATTCTATAGATGTAATGACAACACACATTACACTAGCTTTATTGTACAAATGTGATGACACAACAGATTACATTGCCTGCATTTTATAGATGTAATGACAACACACATTACACTAGCTCTATTGTAAAGATGTGATGACACAATAGATTACATTGCCTGTATTCTATAGATGTTATGACAACACACATTACACTAGCTCTATGTACAGATGTGATGACACAATAGATTACATTGCCTGTATTCTCTATATGTACTGACAACACACATTACACTAGCTCTATCGTACAGATGTGATGACACAACAGATTACATTGCCTGTATTCTATAGATGTAATGACAACAAACATTACACTAGCTCTATTGCACAGATGGGATGACACAACAGACTACATTGCCTTTATTCTATAGATGTAATGACAACACACATTACACTAGCTCTATTGCACAGATGGGATGACACAACAGACTACATTGCTTGTATTCTATAGATGAAATGACAACACACACTGCTTGAACTGCAGGCATACTACAAAACATGACTAAATATTTTCTATGAGGAAATGGCAGTCATTACCATTACTTCTATTACCTTTTTTTTCTTTGATTTTAGCTTTGTTTTGGGGGGATTCAGCCGCAAGATATCTTTAGCTGCTTTTGAAGAAAACTTGAAGGACGTGAGTAGCTGTTCCTAAACAAGATAAAAGCACACGCATCAACTACCAAGCATGTTCGTTTTTTCTGATGAACAGTGAGGTTAGCTGAATTATGAACAGATATCACAGTAATTGGGACATTTCCATAAGTGCTCTGTTCTCATCTTCACAAGTCATTGCAGAGTTTCAATTCTGATGATACCAGTAGCGGTCTGATTATGTGTCCGTCTTGCCGTTCATCCAAGTGTTGAGTGTCCTTCCCCACTGAACTGTTGTCTCTAAGCTGTAATAATATATTCATGCTTCCACTTCTTTCACTTGCTTCTAAAGAGCCTTTACCACATCTAGTTTGTCTTGACGAGTTTAGAATAACTTGCTACTTTCTTAAAAGCACTCCATTATCTAGGGCAGAGTTCCAATTTCAATGGCTCCAGTAGCAGTTTGATTGTTTGAATAAATGTCTTCTTTTTCTCACAATTTACTCGCTGTAAACTACAGAGGCAAGTTATAGTTTTTTGTTCACTTCTGCACTCTGGTCTTGTTCCAGATCTTGAGTTTTGCATGCATATCTGTTTTACAGATCTGACTTATTTGTTTGCAGACTGTTGGTTTCTTGCCTCTCAGGCAGATGTACTTCAACTTTGATGGAAACACCCCTTATTAGTTCTAACTCATAACATGCTTGTTGGGGTGGGGAAGGGGGACAGTGGGTCAACCCCCCCCCTCCCCCCCCCCAACAACAAAAAAAAGCGCCTCAGAACCCACTAAGGGAGTTTGATGAATTAAGAAAATAAAATAAATTTGTTTGTAAACATCCTTACTGTCTTTATTTACCACTTTTCAGGACAGTGTAGGACAGGAAAGTCTTGAGCCTAAGGATTGTCTGTGTGTGTATAGAGACAGACAGACAGACAGACAGACAGACAGACAGACAGACAGACAGACAGACAGACAGACAGACAGACAGACAGACAGACAGACAGGACAGACAGACAGACAGACAGACAGACAGACAGACGACAGACAGACAGACAGACAGACAGACAGACAGACAGACAGACAGACAGACAGACAGACAGACAGACAGACAGACAGACAGACAGACAGACAGACAGACAGACAGACAGACAGACAGACAGACAGACAGACAGACAGACAGACAGACAGAAAGCAAGAATTTTAATTTGTTGACAAACAAATTATTAAATAGTTCTCACAGACAGACATTAAAAATCTGAGATAACGAAGTAGTCTCACAACAGAGAAGTGGAGAATAGAGTGTGTTAGAGATCACTGGGGCCAATATTTACATAGGAGACTGCAGTGACTGAGTATTTGGAAAAAAAAAAGACACATTGAGGGAGAGAGTACACAAGTTGGTTTCTTTACTGCTAGCTAAAGATTTACTCTCCAGGACAGATGTTGTATTATGTCTCTTCTGGGCCATAATATAACATTTAAAACTAACTTGTTCATCATGCTTATGGTTAGTAGCCCCAATGGCTGCATGCACAAAGAATTTGGCAGTCTCCTTCTGGCACGAGAGAATGAGGGCACAATGGTTTTCTCCAGCACAACGAAAACTCATATGCTGGTTCAACTATGGATAGTAAAAAAAAAACCATATATTAATTGTAGTCACTTATGATATTTTAAATTACCATGCCTGTTCAAGAGAAAACAGAAATTACATATTTAAACATATGCCGATTAAACTATAAATAGTTTCAAAAAATTAATTAAATATAGTGTTCATTAGTCCTCTGAAAGTACTGGAGAGCTTTGGGAAATGCCATTCTGGTCCTCTGTAGAGGACAGTAAACACACTGCAATGTGGCCAACACAGCTATGGGAACCAAGCATCTGCCGGGATAAGTGGACACCTCTGAAGTGCCCTCTGCTGTTAGCAGGAGCATCACAGAGAAGGGCACTTACTTGCCCTAGCAATTGAAAAGGTTGCTGAAGGCTGAGGACATAGTCTAAAGCCATGTGAATGTGGAAAGCAATGGGAAACTACCACATTACTATCCCAAGAAATTCATCATGGAAGCCAACAAAGAAGAGAAGAAATACTGACATCTTAAAAGATCTGAACATCAAGGAAGATTGGCTAATAAACAGCATCCTGTCCAGAAGGTGAAATATTTTCGTCATATCAAGCGCCACGACGGGTTGGAAAAAATTATAGCAGAGGGCATGGTACCAGGAAGGAGGGGCAGGGGCTGACCAACACGAAGATGGGCACAGGATTTAAGTGACTCCTTGAGTATGAAAGTACATGAGGCAGGAGAGCTGGCGAGAGACCAAGTTTCTTACAGGCAGACTGGGATGAGAGCGACGTTCTGCAAAGGACCTGATACATGATGATGATGAGTGTCCATTATGATATATAATGTTACTATGTCTGTTCACGAGAAAACAGAAATTACATATTAAACTATGCTGCTCCTTTTGCTGCAATTAACACACCAACTATCAAGCCCAATAACCCTTGCACTTTCCCAGACACCAAAAATATTTAGTGTGCACTAAAAATTCTATAGCTTCACAACTATCTAACATATACTCATAATATTTTGTATTTTTGCACCAAACTGAATGGAGAACAAATTTCAGGAATTAAAAAAAAACTCATAATCTTGTAAATCCTAATCACCTGGCTGTATACTAGTGCCAAAAACTCTACCAAAACATCTTTTACCTGACAATGTTATAACTAATTTTTTGTTTTGAGGTTGTGGAATAATGCCTACCTGTGAAATAACACTCTGCAAATTCAGTGGCTGTTTGCCGCTTTGCACCAAAAGTTTTTGATACAGTTTGAATGAATTATCAAACTCAAAAAGTCATAAAAACGATCTATTCCAAAAACACACATTGTGTGGGGTTAAGTTTGGAGGAAAAGGTGGGGGGGGGGGGGGGGGGGGGGGCATTGCCCCCAGCAAGCTGGTTAAAAAATAACTTATTAGGAGTTTGTTGAAATTGGACATGCTGGGCCAAAATGTGCAGATATTGCAGACTAGCTGTAAACCGCAACAACCATAACACAATGTACCAACTGTCCCCTTTAATGGTGAACACAGAAGCATCCTTGTGCCGTGTCTGGTTCAGAAACTCTTTTAGTCTGCCTCAACAGAGGAGATATTACTTCAATCTTTCTCCTTAAGAAAGCATCACATTTTGTAATTCTCTGCACTAACAGAAATTATTAGAGGATTCTCATAACTGAGATTAAAAAACTGAGACATAGCCAAGATGGTCTGTTGCAGGGTTATGACACAGGCCAATGGAAGCTCAGCTGGTGGCCATGGAGCATCGCCAGTTATTTTGTATTAATAATTTTTCTGTGCTTGGGCTCAGGCCTCTGGTCCGTGACGATCTTTATTTTCAAAATGATGGCAGCTGAGTAAACTTAGTTGAAAAGCCCTGGTTTTTGTTTTGGCTGTGGATCAAAATAAACTAATTACTTTGTTATTGCACAATAATTCATGACCTGGTATGATATAATGCAAGTGACATATGAAGACAAGAACAATACATTGCAGAAGTCATTGCAAGGGAATATTTGGCTGTATCTCATCAGGTAAATTACCAGAGTTACGTCATCATAAAATGAGGTACTAAACTAAACTCTGTAACTGTAGTAATTCCCATGATGAGATACAGAGAAATATCCCAGGCAACAAACTGTGCAATTTATTGTTTGTGTCAGCATTATTTAAATTCACAATAGAAATCAATGTTTCGAATAATATTAATAGGCAAAGTAAAGGACAATCTTCTCCTAAAGTTAAAAGAATGAAAACAATCAACTGTTAAACTAAAGGCAAAAATAATACCACTATTTTAACAACCGGTATTAGTAAGATTATCTTAATATTCATAATACAATTTCAATCTTAAGTAATCAATTTTTTTTAAGGCAATATTTGAAACAATAATATAAATTACACAACTGTCCTAAATAAAATAATGACACAATATATAAAATAACAGATATATACTTTGAGAACACTTTAACCCCCAATTAAAACCCTGAGGGTTCAACATGATATTTTGGTGAAAATTACTACTACTTAATTCATGCTTAGAAGTCTATCAGACACACGGTGTATCCCCATATTTTTTATAGACCAACTGGCAGTAAATAGGTGACGGGATCAATACCAAGCCAGATACCTTCAATTTCCAGAATATAACTTGGCATCAATGGTATCCAATTTTAGGCTTGGTCAACCAAGGAACCCATGTCCATTTTTTTTTTAATCTGTTCTTTTAGAGATTTAAACTTATGGCCAGTTACATCAGGCAAGCATGCCAGCCAATATGTTACTGTAGCTTCAGGTATAATAGAACTCATGACTGTTTTATTTTGATAATTAAGGGCAAGTGTACTGTTGTGAAATGGGTGTAAATATGCCAGCTCTATTTCTAGAATGTGTGTGTGTGTGTATGTGTGTGTGTGTTGTCCATCAAGATGATGATGACCACTCTTTTTCATCAAGAATGAGTACTAAGTGATGAGGCCGATGCGGGCCCGAAAAGTTCTTGGACAGTGAGGACAGGGAATGAGTGTTGTGCCAGTGAGGGATACTCCTTTCTGTCTATCCTTTTCTGAATCAGTCTTGCTATTCTGTTTGCTTCACATGTAGTCCCGCCCTTGTGTAGAGTTGCACGCCATGCATTTCGGTCTTGAGAGGCAGCCTCCCAATTGGTGTTATTCATCCCAAATGCTTTGAGTGAAGATTTCAAGGTTTCCTTAAAGCATTTCTTTTGACCACCTTAGGAATGTTTCCATTTTGCAGCTCGCCATAGAAGAGTTTTTTCGGGAGCCTGTGATCTGGCATGTGTGCCACATGACCAACCCAACAAATTTGATACTGCATCAGAAGAGTGTTTCTAGAATGTAACATCCCTAGGTCAGCAGTAGTTTTAGAAACTAAATAAACTTTGTACAGTGAAAGTCTGGAAGACCATAATGTCAGCACTAAATATAGAAAGGATAATGTCAGCTTTTTTCTTCAGACAATTTATTTAATTCTCTTTGTTAATTTAGAAATGAAATTACACAACTAGCCAACATAACAGGCAATGAAGAAGAAGAAAAGAGTGGTTGATTGCATAACCCAGTGTACCCAGTTACATGAATAATGTTATGCAACCTATGCCCAACTCTTCCGTAGAAGCAGATGAATATGTGTCCACTTTTTCTAATCACAGAACCCGACTTTCTGTTCTGGGCATACATTTTTCGAAATATGGCTTAGGAACCATCTGTAGCCTTAAAATGAATCAAAGACTACCAGAGTTCAAATTTGAGAGTCATGGCTCCTCCAGTCTGCATGAGCTATTGAATCGCCCAACTGATCACGTTTGTATGTACTTTCTTTGCGTGAGGGAAAGGAGGTGTTTTTCATCGTAGTGGGAAGAGTGCCCTTGTCCCTTGTCATCCTAACAAAGCATTTCTACGTAATACTTCAAGTAAATGACACTTCCTACATCAAAATTATCTCAAGTTCAGCAGTTTATCAACTCAATCATCTGCTACTATTATCATCATCAGAAACTGGCACCACTGTTATCCTTCAGATATTCTTTCACCTATTACTTCAGTAATTTAATACTGATGCTGATTTTCATTTCTGCTGGATTTCCAAAGTCCAGCAATGATTAATTCTACAACCAAACATTATGGCATTGACATAAAATGATGCATTGATGATAAGAGGGCATCTACAACATCTTGCCATCCAGTCATTACAGAAGGGTTGGATATTGAGAAGGAACTGTAGAAGTCATGGTTCTGTGACAGAATCCAGTGATTTCCTGTGGCAGAGAAGTGAACACAACATTCCAGCTGCCCTGATAAGGGCAAACACTGAGGAAAAAGAAAAGAAGATAACGTAGGGTCTGGCATCATTAGATGGGAAATGACAGAATGTATCAGAAATGAATGACAGTATACAAACCAGAAGACTATGGACAGACATAATTACAAACGTCATATGGTACGGACGATACTGTATTGATGACACTGTATGCAGATTCTTACAACTTAACTGCCACCCGGCCATTCAAGAAAGTTGGATATAATTTACTTTATAGCAGAAGGGAGGCGTGGTGGTTTTCAAGACCAGGATTCTTCAAGACTCACAGGTAATGTGCGATAGAAGAGTCTCAGTCCCAGTTAGCAGGCATACACCACTTGATATATTATTTGGTATTTTCAGGATTTATATAAGGTGACTCACATTTTAAATTTTAAAAACAAATGTGTAAAACATATCATCTTATACAGGGAACAATATGGTAAATAGAAAATTAACCTGAATTTGTACTGGTGTTGACAGCTTCATCTGAGACTGTGGCCACTTCCAGTGTCGAATCACACGGCCATCTTTATTAGCCACATGCCCTCCTTTGGTTGTTGACAAAAATCTATTGACAAGAACAGAACCAAACTGATTTTTGGGCTATTACAACAGTAGGGACAAAAAGACCTATAATTAAAATAATGAGGACACCTACAACTTACTGCAGAATTTATTACCTGGCACATTTCACCATCTCTCTCATCAGCTGCATTGCAAACAGTTTACATCAACATATAATTAGGCAGCCCACCCAAGGCTGATTGGTCTATACAAATATGAGTTTAGCATCACATGCCCAGTATGTTTTTGGCATGAATATGTGATCCTGTACCTGGTGTGCAAAACAGGAAGTCAAAAAGGGTGTAGCCAGACAAGAGTGCTGTCTCCCCCTTTCCACACACACACACACAAAAGCAGTAAACTAAAACAAACCTGGTATCGTATATAACACTGAGGTATATACCGAGTTGGGATCCATGAACTTATGGAGTAAATAGTTTGATCTGCATTGAGGGTGATCTGTGACTAATATTTTAAAACTCTTAGCATTACAACCTATTACATTCGAAAACACTGCCTAAGGAAAGTGATGAACATTCAATGGGATGAACAAGAAAGGGAAGAAATAAGAGAAATGTCTGGACAACCACTTGTATAATCAGTTAAAGGACAAAAAAGACGGCAATATACTAGGCACATCATGAGGATAAATCGACAGTGAATCACTAAGCAGGAACTGAAATGGGAAACAGATTGAGGAAATTAGGGTTTTCAAAAGATGAATATTGTTAAGACAGACCAAATGTACTGGACTCGATTTCATCCATAATATTTAATGGCCTGCACAGGAGAAAACAGAATCAAGGACTAGACTGTGAGCCTTGTGTGGCATACAACAACACAACAAGGTGATGATGATGATTACCTTTAGAAACATATGATGTGTGCACATGCATGAATGAGTTGTGAATTTGTCTGTGTATGTACACGTCTGTGTATCTGTGAGCTTACAAAAACAAATATAAGGGGCTTTCCCTGGTGAAGTGCTCAAGCCGTTAGCCTTGTGCTCTGAAGGTCATAGGTTTATTTCACAGCTGCGCCGTTCGGTTCACGAGTACAATTTTTAAGGGGACCCCTAGAGCTATGGTGTCTGTGCTCTGTACAATGCTCTATGCAAAAGAATTGTCTTTATCAGAGTCTTAGACAGGGCTTGCATCTGAGTGATAATGAAATTGATTACACAAATCTGCACAGATGCAGAAGTAAAAAGTACAGAGTACTAATCAGTACACTACAATCTGTTCATCAAATCATTTCAATGGCTTCAAGGGTTCATCAGCAGTTATTTTTTGTGTGTATTTTATCCAGTTAAGATTGTTATAGAAACTTTTCTCCCAACATTGTCTCCCAACATTTTTGCTTATACTTATTTCTTCTGCATCTAAGAGTGCAGTCAGATACCAAACAATTTGTTTATCATGTTTCAGTTGTTCTTGCATACCATTCTCACCTTATATTGCCATTTGCATGGTAGCACACACCTCTCCCACTTGGTACAAACACAGCAAGCATTCTTTTATCTGGATCGTCATCATAAACAATCGTGTAAAATCCTGGATGACTAAATCCTGCAGCAGAAGCTACAACTGCAAGCCGGCCTGAAGGGTAGCTAGGTCACAGGTTAAGTGTTGTATATCATACTGAGATGGTAAAGAAAGCAAAATAAATACACACTGGACTATCAGGAATCATTACAAAGAGTCCATGCACTTAAATACCTGACGATGATGATGTATGTATTCTTTGTTTTCTTTAATTTTGTTTGACTTAGGTCAATTCATTTTCTGTTTTCTATAATTATCCAAATGCTTTTTTTAAAAACTGGACTTGTGTTTTATTTTTCAAGTTGTTCAGATTACTTTTTATGGATTGCGATATTTCTGTTTACGGATAACAGTTCTTGTTTTCTATTTTTGTTTTTTAAATTTATTTATCAAAATAAAAAAAAATAAAAAAAAACTATAAAATGTCTTTTGTTATCTATATGTGCCTTGTGTTTGCCAAGTCTTCTAGTTATATTAGAATTTTAAGTTTTCTAATAATACTTAGTGCGATAAAACCCACACTGCATTTTCAAATTTGTTAAAACATCTAACTATAATTTAATCACAACATAAGGGTTTCAACAGGACAGTACTATCATCGCCCTCTATGCTTCATAAGGATCAAAATATTCTTCATTTATAACTATTTGCTGCACTGATCTGGATGTCAAGGTACATTAAAAAAAAATTTGTTAAATTTTTATTTTTATTTTCACCTTGATGGGGATTCAAACACTTGCTAATCACACTGATAGGCAAATATGGTAACCACTGCAGATCCTTATTTCAGGTAATTAGATAATCACTGTTTCAATTGCATAGTAAATGGGTCACCACATAGTTGCTACATTCCTGTGCCACTGAAAACCACACACAAAATCAATCACTGTCCTTTAAGAGGACTGCAGGTCTCAGCAAAGCCAATAGCATGCACGCATATTAAATGCATAAGGCAGCTATTTGGTACTACAAATGTAGTCCATTGTCGACAGAATCAGCAGTTGCGGAAATGCAGCTAATTGTCATCCTTAACTTTATAATGTACTTGTCAAATAAATTTGTTACCACTTCTGTACCAAGCTACTTTCCGAATGTTAACTACTTGCTCATTCTATGACCCAAAAAATAAATAACCTTGGGAATACGTGACTATGCTTGTAAATTTGTAAATAAACAAAATGAGCATATATTACACTGAAAAGATACTAGGCAACAGTTGTGCCATCCATATGGGATGCCATGAATAGGTTTCTGCTTTCTGTGACATCATCTGACATATTAGGGATGCAGGGTTTTCCATCCTTTATAGAACTGTTAGAGGAACTCTTGACAAAAGGCTTACGATACTTCAGTAAAGTTTCTCTATGTGAATCTCCATAATAGCGCACTATCACAGGTGAATTAAGTCCCATTTCTGCTTCATGGATCCTTTGTTCTTTTCTGTAATAAGATATAATAAAAGTATATTTTCAATATAGAAATAATTCATTAAATTAAAACTTTGAACTCTGGTAGTCTCTGGTTCATTTTAAAAGATAATAGATGAAAAGGTTTAACCATCTGATGAGGATGCTGTGATACCGGCTGCCACAGAGAGCCATGAAGAATTAGAATTAATGCAGCACAAGAGAAAGACAGTGCTAAACATGGAATGAAGGCATCAAAAGCAGCCTTAAGGAAATAATGATCAACCTATACAACACATGAGAAAGAGCACCACATAGAAAATCCTTACATCTGCCCAGCCCTTTTTTTACCAGAACCAACCAGCTTTCCACCCACTTCCCTCCCAACACCTTGATGAGGCAACTACAGGAAAAGAATATTTGTGGTCACTATTTTAAAGTAAAGTTAACAAGATCCTAAAATATGATCAATTTCACTGTATCTAATGAACATTGTCTTAGTCTTTGAAAAGACTGTACTAATTAAGCAAATGAGCAAACTAAAAAAACAAGTTAAAGTCAAGAGAATCTATTTAATTCCACTGGGTTTTATCCCATTTGGCACTGTCTCTCTCCTCAGAACAGCTAGCTACCTGTCGAGAGCATCACACAGAGCACAAACTCCGTAGCTCCTGGGATGATCCCGATGGATCTCCGTGAAAACTGCACCCATGACACAGTCAAAATAAACCCACAACCTTCAGAGTGCGAGGCAAACCGCTTGACCACTTCACCGTGGAGACCCCCAATCTATAATAACTGATTACTTGTACACTTTACAATTTCCATACAAAACTGGAAATTATATATCTACTTTTACAAGTCTTGGCTGACCCTAGAGCACACTGGTTGAAACTATCCTGCCACTTGTTGAGACTGAGCCTGAACCCCTGTCTTGAGGGGCAATTGATTAATATGAAATCATAAGAAGCTCTTAATGATTAGTTAGAAGCATCAGCAATCACAGTTTCTCTTATAAAACATTTCTCTTACATTTGTTTTAACTCTTGTTGCAATCTTTGGATACAATATTCTAGAACTGCTTCCTTGGCCAATTCATCCTCTTTACCTTTTTGACAGATCCAACCTGCACATCAAAAGATGACAATATACTAGGTAACACAGTCTAGTATTATTTATCATCTATAAGATAGGGAGATTACAGTCTAGTATTATGTATCATCTATAAGATAGGGAGATTACAGTCTAGTATTATGTATCCTGTATAGAGATGTGGAGATTACAGTCTAGTATTATGTATCCTGTGTTAGGTGTGGAGATTACAGTCTAGTATTATGTATCCTGTGTTAGGTGTGGAGATTACAGTCTAGTATTATGTATCCTGTATAGAGATGTGGAGATTACAGTCTAGCATTATGTATCCTGTGTTAGGTGTGGAGATTACAGTCTAGTATTATGTATCCTGTGTTAGGTGTGGAGATTACAGTCTAGTATTATGTATCCTGTATAGAGATGTGGAGATTACAGTCTAGTATTATGTATCCTGTGTTAGGTGTGGAGATTACAGTCTAGTAATATGTATCCTGTGTTAGGTGTGGAGATTACAGTCTAGTATTATGTATCCTGTATAGAGATAAAAAAAATTACAGTCTAGTATTATGTATCCTGTATAGAGATGTAGAGATTACAGTCTAGTATTATGTATCTGTGTGTGTGTGTATGTGTGTGTGCCTTTGCAAATGTTTGTCTTCATGTGTGTTTGTATTTGTGTGTCTGTGTGCATGTGTCTGCGTGAGCATCAGCGTGTGTGTTTCTGCAATTGTGTGTGTGTTTGTGTGTCTGCGAGTGTGTCTGTGTGTGTGTGTATCTGCATGTTTGTGTGTGTGTCTAAGTGTGTTTGTGCATGTATGTGTGTGAGTCTGCGTGTGTGTGTCTGCGGGTTTGTGTGTGTGTCGCATATGTGTGTGTATCTGTGTGTAAATGTGTGTGTGCATATGTGTGTGTTTGTGTCTGTGCGCATATGTCTGTTTGTGTGTGTGTCTGCATTTGTTTCTATGGGTGTGTCAGTGTGTGTATCTCTATGTATGTATGCATGTGTGTGGAATGTGTGTGTTTGTGTGGGTAGGTAGGTATGTATGTATGTGGGTAAATGGGGTGTGTTTATGTGTCTGAAGGTATGTAGATGTGTAGATATGAGTGTTTAAGTGAGTGGGTTGGCGTGTGTGTGGGTGTGTGTGTATGTGTGTCTGTGTGTGTGTGTGTATGTATGCAAGTGTGTCTACCTGTGCATGTCTGTGTGTGTTTGTTTGTGTGTATCTGTGTGTCTTTGTGTGTTTGTTTGTGTGTATCTGTGTGTCTTTGTGTGTTTTTAGTGTGTGTCTGCTGGTGTGTATCTATGTATGTGTGTCTGTGTGTGTTTGTGCGTGTGTGTATGACTGTATGTATCTGTATGTGTATCTGTGTGTATGTGTCTACATGTGTCTGTGCGTATGTTTACTTGTCTGTGTGATCTACATGTATGTGGCTGTGTGTGCGCCTGCATGTGTTTGTGAGTGTCTTTGTTGTGTTTGTGTATGTGTGTTTGTATGTGCCTGTGTGTCTCCGTGAAAGCCTGTGTTTATGCATGTCTCTGAGTGTACATATCTTTGTATGTCTCTGTGTGTGTCTGTGTGTATATGTCTGTGTGTGTTTGTCTGTGTGTGTGTTTGTTTGTCTGTGTGTAGTGTCTCTGGGTGTGTGTATGTGTGTCAGCGTGTGTGTCTGCTTGTATCTGAGTGTGTGTGTGTGCCTGTATAAATGTATGTCTGCGTATGTGTTTGCATTTGTGTGTCTGTGGGTGTGTGTGTGCCTGTGTGAATGAATGTCTGCATATGCTTCAACGTGTGTGTGTCTGTGGTTGTGTGTCTGTGTGTGTATGTGTCTGCGTGTCATCAACGTGTGTGTGTGTGTCTGCAATTGTGTGTGTGTTTGTGTGTCTCCGAGTGTGTCTGTGTGCGTGTATCTGTGTGTGTGTGTCTGTGTTTGTGTGTGTCCACGTGTGTGAGTCTGTGTGTGTATTATGTGGGTTTGTGTGTGTGTCGCATGTGTGAGTGTTTGTGTGTGTTATTGAGTCTGTGCACGTATGTCTGTTTGTGTGTGTGTGTGTCTGCATTTGTTTCTATGAGTGTATCTGTGCGTGCATGTGTTTGTATGTATGTATGTATATGTGTGGAATGTGCAAGTCTGTGTAGGTAGGTAGGTATGTATGTGGGTGAATGGGGGTGTGTTAAAGTGAGTGGGTGGGTTGGTGTGTGTGTTTGTGCATGCGCTAGAGTGTGCACGCATTTTACCACCAATGCTGTTGTTTTTATCTTCCTTTTTTTTTAAATTCATAATATGCATATTATCATATGGATGTAGCATGCTTATTGATAAAATAAAGCTGCAGTGTAAAAGACGGGTGTTTGAAATGGCCAAATGTAAGAGGAGCCTGCGTGCCCAATTTGTATCCCTTTGAAAATAAAGTTTGTTTGTTCGTTCATTCGTTATCTTGTATTAGATGTGAAGATTACAGCCTAGTATTAGTATCCTGTATAGAGACGTAGAGATCACAGCCTAGTATTATGTATCCTGTATAGAGACGTAAAGATCACAGCCTAGTATTATGTATCCTGTATAGAGACGTAAAGATCACAGCCTAGTATTATGTATCCTGTATAGAGACGTAAAGATCACAGCCTAGTATTATGTATCCTGTATAGAGACGTAGAGATCACAATCTAGTATTATGTATCCTTTACAGAGATGGGTATCAGTCTAGTATTATGTATCCTGTATAGAGATGTAAAGATCACAGTCTAGTATTATGTATCCTGTATAGAGACGTAGAGATCACAATCTAGTATTATGTATCCTGTATAGAGATGTGGAGATTACAGCCTAGTATTATGTATCCTGTATAGAGACGTAGAGATCACAATCTAGTATTATGTATCCTTTACAGAGATGGGTATCAGTCTAGTATTATGTATCCTGTATAGAGATGTGGAGATTACAGTCTAGTATTATGTATCCTGTACAGAGATGTGGGGTATCAGTCTAGTTTAGACCTCTGTGTGTGCAAGCATGTGTGTGTGTCTGAGCTGGTATCACTGTCTGTATTACATCATCACTTTCACGGGGCCTTATTTTGTGGGGAAAAGAATAGACCCACCGCCTACCTAACAAGCATACTGTAAAAGATGACCAATTAGAAGTGATTTCTTCAAAGTTGGAGTGCATCTGCCTGAATGGCTAGGAACCAACAGTCTGCATACAGATAAGCCAGATCTGTAAAAGGTAAGTTAAAAAAAAAGTAAAGGGCCCTTTTTCACGCTTTTAGGTGTATAGGGCAAAAGGGCTAGACCTTTATTTTATAGACCAATCGGCACAAGATGGGGGATGTGGTGCATCATGCCAGCCACCTTTACTTCCTGGGACTGCACCCGATACCCAATCAAAGCTGGGCAACCTAGGAGCCAAGGTCATTTTTGAAGAAACAAAAATCTGGCTTTGCCAGAACGAACCCACGACCTTCCGATCCGCGGTGAGCGTCTAGCCGCTCTGCCAGGCATCTCTCCTGTAAAAGGTATGTGAATGCAAAACTATGTTCTGGAGCAAGAACACCGCTCTGCCAGGCATCTCTCCTGTAAAAGGTATGTGAATGCAAAACTATGTTCTGGAGCAAGAACAAAGTTCAAAAGTGCTCAAACAACCAAAACTTTCCACATGAGTTTACAACCAGTGAACAAAAAACAAAAAAGAAGAAAATGTCATCTGTATAAAGTTATATGTAAACTGGGAGCTACGTTATATCGAGGCATGTGCACTTCTAGTAATTTCCCCTTGGTCTCTGGGCAGTAAGACTGGATGCCTGTGTGTATTGTTGCGCATGTTAAAAATCTCTTGGCAACTGGAAATCGAAAAGAGTAGCCTAACAGCGTTGCCCAGACAAAATTTAGGATAACAAATCTACCCAAAAGTATTTTAGGATCATCGCCGGTGCAACAGAGTTCGTGTACTGCTCTGAGATTCTTCAGACTCAGGCTTGAGTTATAAGACGAACGGAGCACTTAATGGGTTACATCCGTGTGCCATGATGTTGATCCATTAAATAAACATATATGTAAACTGATTTGTGTTGATAGCTGAACATGATCTGTCCATAGAGCTGGACAAGGACTAAGAAATCGATGAATCAATTTTATCAAAACTACACTTAAAACTAATTAAGAGCAGTCTGTGATGCATCTTGTTCAGGGATGCAAAAATTTTTCACACTTCACCCCACAATGCTGAAATCCATACATCACCATACTCTATATCTACTTGTGACCCATTCTGCATTTTTGTCAATAAAGGAGAGCAAACTTATCTTTTATCATCAACAATTCTTTAAACTGTGTCACTGAGCTACTTTCCATTCAACAAGTGCTACAAAATACTACATCTAAACTAAAGTTGCTAAAGGTGTGTGTTCTTTACAGGAGGTTGCAGAACCAACCCCAGCATATGTTGGCTGTTGTGGTTTATCTAGGCAAATTTGATGTTCAGTAGTTTGCCACTGCTTTCTAAATGGTCAGCTCTCGGTACCACTGTCAAAACCAATCATAGGCAGGTGGGATTAAACCTGGCACCCTGGCATTACGAAGTGCATTAGCAATGGCTAAGCTACAGAAGCTGACAGAAATACTACATAAGAAATGTGAAAAGTGTATTTATTAGTACGAGTACCTTTTTCTTCACAAGCTTTGGATGATAGTTGAAACTGAATCACTGGCATGTAGTATGATTGACTGGTGAAGCCAACTGCTGGAGTCAGAATCATTGTTAGTTGCAAAGATATAACTGCACTTAATTTACCAAACAATAATTATTTGATATAAAAGTAACACATCTGAGATATACACTAAGCAATTATTCTTATTCTTCTTCACACTTATCAGTGGTACACTCCGGTGGAAAGTTCTGCTTGTTCGTCCACTTGTGGATTTCAGTCTTGTTCTAGAACTTGAGTTTTGCATGCACATTCACTTTTCAGATCTACAGATCTGGCAGACTAGTGGTTTCTTGCCTCACTCTATCTTTGAAGTAAACACCGAATTAACTGACTCTTAGAACATGCTTTTTTGGAGAGGAAGTGGGTCCTGTCTTCCCCAATGTGAAGGCATAAACTGATCCTGTCCTGAGTGCTGTGATGTCAGTTGTTAGCTTAACCCTCAACACTACAATGGTAGAATGTGTCATAGTACCACCTGTATCTCACTGACTACAGCTACAGGCAGTACCATTTCTACACTTTTAATAGACTCAATATACTGCTTACCTGCACACATCAGCAGGTTACATCCGTCTGTTGTAGCCATCATGGATGCCCTAACTATAACTTATTTTGAGGTTGAACAGGGTATGTGGAATTTTTCACATCCAGATTGAGATTTATATAATCTCAGGGAGGTCAAAGTTTTAGGTAGCAGTGGGTAGGGCAAATACAAAAGGAAGAGGAACACCTTTAAGTGTACAAGTAATACAGTGTTAGGACCAACTGGTAGTGGATTAATGATGTGGTCAATATCAAGCTAGCAGCCTTGCCTGCCCAGGACACTTTATTGTTTTTTTTTTTTTAGCCGTGGCTAAATTTTTTTTTTGCCAGACGGTGGCCGTTGCATTTTTGCTCCATTTGTAGACTGGAAGGATATAGTTTTGTCGCCCAGCTTCTGAGCTGACTGCATGGTGTGACACTGTGAGCTACGTGTGTTTTTCGTTGGCACAGGAGCGGAGCAACTATGGGGTAACCTGTTTGTTATGAAGCTGAAACTAGGATTACCAGATTACACATGTTAGGTTGGGTAAACTGGAGAATCCAGGTTGAGTTTTCACAATTCAATTTGGTAAAGAATCAAACATTTGATTACAGGCCATCTAATCCTAACTGTAACCAGGGACAGGGACAGGGACAGGGACAGAAATATATGTCTACAATGATTCCTAACTATAACCAGGAACAGGGAAAGAATCAGAAATATATGTCTACAATGATTCCTAACTGTAACCAGGGACAGGGACAGAATCAGAAATATATGTCTACAATGATTCCTAACTGTAACCAGGGACAGGGACAGAATCAGAAATATATGTCTACAATGATTCCTAACTGTAACCAGGGACAGGGACAGAATCAGAAATATATGTCTACAATGATTCCTAACTGTAACCAGGGACAGGGACAGAATCAGAAATATATGTCTATAATGATTCCTAAATGTAACAAAAACAGATCGGATCGGAAATGACAGTATCATTAATCAAGGTGGGACAGAACCAGTAAAACCAGTATTAAACGACATCAAGAGACATGCGATCAAAGAGTTCAGACAGTATCAAGACTACACAAGATAGTGCCCCACAGATAACCCTGCCACTTAGACACAACAGAAGCAGATCTGGACGTTGTCACTTAAAAGATGGATAGATGGAATATCTGAGGCTGTGAATCTACACAGCACACAAAGATTCTAACATCAGATATCTCCTCATTCAGAGCTGACACTGTAAGTAAGAACAGGGTATAAAGACAAGAAGACCACAGATCTACAAGCAAGCCTGCTAGTCACTGCATTAGCACAGCTCCAAGCTCACATATCATCATCGTCAAGTGCCTTGCAGACTGGGAGATCATGCCCCTCCACAATCTATGATCCGCAGCTGTGTGTATCAGTTCATGTGCTGACAGCCTTCCATCCCATGATAAAACGCTGTCAAGAGTCTTCTCAGGCCATCTTCCTCCATCTCTCCCTCCACAGATCTCTCCAGCGGTCATTTCCATTTTCCCTCTTCTCATAACATGACCCAAAAATGATGACTGTCTCTTTCCGACACTTGTAACAAGTTTTCTCAGAGTTTTCTTCAAAACATTGGGGCTGCTCTTCTTAGCTGTCCAAGGAATTCTGAGGATTTTTGTGTAAAACCATATCTCGGTAGCCTAAAGATACTGTCTATCAATTGTCAAGGATTCACAGCTGTATGTTAAAATTGGTTCTAAATAGCATGCGAGAATTCTTTTAGTTCACATATACAATATGATAAAATGTATAACTGAGTATATGAACTTAATTTTGCTTACATCTGATATCTGATGCAGTTTCAGAGACAGCTGACATATTATCATTCTCTCGAAGCCCTTTTTTAAATCCTGAAAATTTTCCAGCCATGGAGGACAGCCCTAATGAAATAACAAACAGAAATGCTTCAGATAAAAGTACACAAGAATACAAACATTTCACTTTGGTACATCTCCATTTCTGCCTTTACTGCCCAAATACACAACATTTTAAAGGACTGTAGATTTAGGACTGGATGGCAAGTTCAGTTATTTAAAAGTGTGCAAGCTGAAATATTTATTTTTTCTCCTAGACCGTAAAAATGGCTACTAGTTTACATGTGATTTGATCCTGTGTCTCATGACTGAGACAAAAGCATTCTAAACATCAGCCAACTGTTAGGTAACAATACACTGCTTCTTATTCATCTTATGGTATCAGTGCACCAACGATATAATAAAGTGATAATTACAGCTAAATGTCTTGGTCTTTTCAAAATAAAATTGTATGCTGCATTTGTTGGATCGTGAAAGTTATACTGTTTTATACCCAGACAGCTGTTTTGTTAGCCCGTTATAGTTATTCCTTTTATTCTGGCTCATTTTCTTTAAAATAGTAAGATTACCTTCTGCTGTTGCTGCTGCTGCTGCTTCTTCTTCTTCTACTACTTTTTCTTCTTCTTCTTCTGCGTCTTCTTCAGTAATCTCTGGTCGTATGCTTAATCCACAGTTGGCTTTAAATATGGGATGACAGCTCAGGGTCATTTAGGTTTCCCAAAAGCTTAGTTCTTAGGTCTACTGGATGTGGCTACATGTTGCTTTGAAGCTCCTCCAGGAGAGGATTGTCTTGCAAGATATGTTCTGGGGTCTTCTCAGCATGAAGACATTGGCAGAGTGTTGTCTGACTCATACCTAATTTACACGAATGTTTGTTGAATCTGTAAAGTCCAGTATGTAAAAAATGGAAAATTCATCTAATCATGATGAACTCTGCATGAGTCGACTGAGGACTATGCTTTATTAGGAGATAAATGGAAGACACAGAAAAAGCCCTAGCAAGTAGGATTGAAAAATTAAGCTACCAGAAACACCTGGCTAATTTCACATTTATCAAAAGTAAATATTTTGCATTAGAGATATACTAGGTTTTATGCGTTTTGCCAACATTCTAAGTGACCTTAAGATACAATAAAGGTATAGGTAAAACAGAATTAACCTAGTTGCTCCTAATTTCCTAGATAAATCTTTGGCAGCCATTATGTGAAAGGAAAAGTGACACACAGGTGGGAAAACTTGTTTTTCTGACTTTAACCTTACAAAGGGCAACTGGCATGTTGTGTTTTAGTTTACAAAAAGGCTGTAGTATCTGCACACTTCAGCCAACTCATCCTACTTCAGAAAACCCCTAATTAGTCCCCTTTTATAAAATGCTTGTTATGTGGGCAATGTGAGGATGAACTAGTATTACTGTAACATTAGAGAAATTATCCAATCGCAATACTCTCTTTTATATTTATTAGTTCACAGCAATAAGGACATTCCCATTTGTGCTCTGTCCTCATTATCTTCAGCTCCCGCAAAGAGTTGAAATTCCAATGCTACCAGTTGCTGTCTGATTATACTCCATTTTCCTGTCCTCTGAGCATAGAATCTTCTTAGGTAAAACTTTCATACAGTTTTACAAAGCTTGGTTGGTCCCAGAGTAGTATGCAGTAAAAAAAAAAAAATCCCTTTTCAGCAGATGATAGAACAGTGGAAGGACACTGTGCTGTTAAAATATTGTCTGTGCTTGTTTGTGCTGCTACTTACCTCTACTGTCTGTTGACCTTTGTCGCTCCTGTTTATGGCACTTTGGAACCTGCAACATACTGCCATCACTGACTTTTAAATTCTCAGAACTAACATTTGTATAGCTCGCACTATTCTCAACTATTTCTGGCAAAACTAAAGAAGATTTTGTTGGCAATCTTTTCTTATTACTGGCTCCTGATTCTGGAACCCTAGACTGGGTCTTGAAGTTAGGATCATCATCCTGAAGAGTTAGTTCCATCTGGAGAGAAAAAAACAGTCACATTTACATATAAGTTCATCCAACTCTTTATTAATTGGTCACATTACAAACAGCATAAAAAGACCAAAAGAAAACCATAAACTCTAGACTTTAAAAATTAAAGTCATGCGAGAGACCAGGGTTCATATTCTTGGTAACATTTGGGATTTTGTTTTCTGTCAGATCTGAACCTGCTCATTCTGTGGCAACAGCACTAACTATGCGGCCCTAAATTCTCAGTTTCAAAGACTTCAACTCTACCTCCCCCCTCCTATGTGGGAAAATATTAGGGCTGTACCGAATATTCGCTTCCTATTCGCTTCGGGCCGAATAGTGAATCCAATAACTATTCGGTATTCGGCCGAATAGTTGCGGTCGGGCTGAATACGAATAGTGGTTACCTCCCACCATTTCTGGACTGGTGGAAAAAAAACATCAAGACTTCCCACCTTGGTTTATACTGTGAAGCGTTATCTTTGTGCACCACCTACGAGCGTACCAAGTGCCCCTTTATTTCCATCTTGCATGTGTTGCGAGTATAGTGTTTTTAGGTGTGTTGCTGTAGAAACAAAATGCAACACTTAAAAATGTAAGAGAGGCAGAAAAGCAAGTGTTCTAGTGTTGTCGGCTTGATTTCTTTGAGTGGAGTGTCCTCTTCGTTGATTCTTTGAAGTAACGGGAGTTCGTCATCATTTATGGGTGTCGTATCTGTTCTTTCGTTCGGTTTCTTGATTGTCTTTGTTGTTTGATCTTCTGGCGTTGGCCGCCCCGCATCTGGTTTCGTGAGCTCGCGGGGGGCTGGGCGACTTGTAAGGACGGCATTGTTTTCTTCATCGGCGTTATTTTTGTTTTTGATGTTTCGCCTTGTGGGTTTTCATTTTGACTCTCTGTATTTGTCGTATTTTCCTGTTTAGTACAGCTGGAAATACCTTCAGTGAGACAAAAAGCTGGCCTAATGCTGACAACATGGAACGAAGGTTTTTCATGGAGGTGTGTCAGCACACAAACTAATATGTGCTGCAGGAGATCGCAGATTGTGGCGAGGCATAATCGCCCATGCCAGCCGGCAAAGCACATGATGATGATGATTCACTATTCGTATTCGTATTCGGCCGAATAGTTGGTCCAGCTATTCGTATTCGGCCGAATAGTGAAAATCACTAGTCGGTACAGCCCTAGAAAATATGGGCAGTAATGGCAGTTTTAAATTCCTGCTTTAACCCAAAAAAATCTTTACTTATTCTTATAGGTTGGGAGCAAGTGAACAATCAGAGGCATGAATAGATCGTAATGGTCTGCTGAGAATGGTACAGCTATGGGTGATCAGTGGATCTGGTCGACACTCTACACTCTGAGGAAAGACAAGACGGATATATAACAAAACTGCCTTTGGCACTACTGGAATTTTACTCTTGGCTGGCTGCTGACGATGACAGATTGTTTATGGAAGTGCCCTTAGTTCTGTGATGTCAGCTCTTTACTCAACACTAAATACCAGTTAATGAACGTTTGTAGTTTGTAATTATTTTAGTTGTTCTTCGTGTTTCTTCTCTATACAACAGTACTGATGTGACATTAGAATTAAACAACTGTGATGAGTTGAGCTGAGTCAAGAATTGACATCACACACTCTGGGCATTCCAATGTGCTCAGTCCCCATCTTCAGCAGCCAGAACAGAGTTCCAATATCAATGGTACCGATTGTAGTCTGGTTCTATGTGCGTCTAGCCTTTCCTCAGAGTGGAATGAGCTGGCGGCCAGGCCCTTCGATCACACCCAGGTGCCTGATTCTCTCCAGTCCAAAATAATCTACTTTCTCTTCTGAAACAAATTTACTTTCTCTTCTGAAACAACTGAAGTTTAGTATTAGTTCTGAGTAACATCTAATACTGATTAATCTATAAATATATGGGTCTAGCACCATAGGAAAAGGATCCTTTACTTACTTGTATTTATAATAAAATTCTGATTATTTACTGATTTTTATTTCTTCAGGCCACTTGGGGTTAAAGGTTAATGCCAACCACCAAATCATTACCTCTTTCAGGGCAACATTTGGGGTTAAAAATCTACCCAAAGTTTTTCAGGATCCTTGCTGGTGCTACGGAGTTCATGCATTAAACTGAGATTCTTCAGACTCAGGTTTCAGTTAGAAGTAGAATGGAGAACTTAATGGGTTACTACCCTTGTGCCATGATGCTGATCCACTGTTTAAACCTAAACCTAAACCTCTTTCAGTACTACATAGCTATTACTTTGATCTCCTTCATTTAAAAGCAATACTAATTACGATGTGAAGGCATTCTTATTTTTCTTCTTTAGGTTCACCAGCTGTAAACTCTAGCGGAAAGTTCTGCTTGCTCGTCTTGCTTCAGTCTTGTTTTAGGACTTGAGTTTTGCGTGTACATCTATTTCACAGATTTTGCTTATTTGTATGCAGACTGTTGGTTCCTAACCTCTCTGGCACATGCACTTTGACTTTGAAGGAAAGAACCCTAATTAGTTGCCTTTTATGACAAGCTTGTTAGGCAGGTGGAAAGGGGGAGGGGCAGTAGTTCAATTCTTTTATCCCACAACGATGGGACCCTGAATTCCACACTGGGATAAAGGTCTTCAGCAGAGACATTAAGAGATAAGAATATTTAATTCAGATACAGAGGGTTAATATATCAACTTGTCTGTGATAAAATTTAGCAAAATATATATTATCTGTTCAAATACCAAGAAGCATATGGTAAGTTGTTTGGTAGTTGAAAAGTTTATGTCTTCTAGTGTTAGCAGTAAAAAAACTAAAGAAGACTTGGTGCGAATCACAATGGTTGTGTTTAACAAAAAAAGGAACATAAAAATGGTAGACATACACCTTACCCGATATTGTTGTTGCGGATGAGACAACCTTCTTTAAGAATCCCACCAAAAAAAAAAAAAGACTGGTGCACTCGCACACACACACACACACATACACATCATGACACTAGGTCCACACAAAATTAAAGTAATAGTTTTCTCAAAATAAGAGTTAATGTATCACTAAATTTGAACATCTGAGGTATCCACCACAAGAGATTGGATTTGCTCAGTGAAGTAGTCACATGTAGAAATCAACTGGAAACATTTAAACTATTCAAGATAGACTGCAGCAGTCTCTGTATTGTAGTGGTTAACTTATGTCTCATTCTCTGAAGGTTGTGGCTCACTTTTGGAGTCTGTCCTTCAGTTTGCAAGGGCTGGTGTTTAAAAGTTTTCTGCGGGTTGCTGTCGGAGTTACAGATTTCATGATTTATGCATGCTACAGAGTTTGTTCTGTCTGCATGCTATGGAGTTTAAGCTTTGTACATGGAACCAGTGCTTAACTATATCAAGAGACAACAGATCAAATGGTTTAGACATGTGTCAAAACTACCAAAGCATGTTGTAAGAGCCGACTAATTTGGAGCTTCCTTCAAAGTTGGAGAGCATATGCTTGAGAGGCAAGGAACCAGCAGTCTGCATACAAATGGATGCACATGCAACACTCAGGTTCTGGAACAGGACTGCAGTCCAGAAGTGAATGAACAACCAAAACTTTCTGCCAGAGTTTACAGCTAGTGAACACAAAGAAGAAGAAGAAGAAGAAGAAGAAGAAGAAGAAGAAGAAGAAGAAGAAGAAGAAGAAGAAGAAGAAGAAGAAGAAGAAGAAGAAGAAGAAGAAAGAAGTGAGAGCCATTAGGTGTGACCAATAGAAATGTACAAGCTTCATACCTTCTCTTGGCTACCATCAGCCTTAGCTTCAGTCAGTTTCCTATAGTGAGCTTCTCTGCTGGTATACGTCTGCCATTCTCTGCGCACCATCTGCACATCAGCAGTTAAGTCTGAATAGTTTGACATCATCTGGTATTCTAGAGATTTGGGTATGCATGTGACTATGTTGTCATAATAGTAGATAAAATGACTGAGCTGGAGCAAAATATTGTAAGCGTTTAGTTTAGCTTCTTCAAACAGGTAACGTTGACTGTCTTCTTCATTGGAATTTGAGTTCACTGGATGATTCTTTGCTGTCCCATGGGCCTAGAAAAAGGAAATGTTAACGAATTAAAAAAAAAAATGCTTAAATGGGATGAATTAAAAAAGAGCTAAGTTATAAGGTAAATATCGGGGCAACCGCTGAGATCAATATATTTAATGCAAAGAAGATGGTGACGTAATCAAGAAATTATGAGCAAAAGTGAATAGAGAATCACCAAACATGCACTTAAAAATAAACAAACAGACTGAGGAAATGAGGACGTCTAAGTAAAAAAAGTAAAAACCCCTTTTCACACCTTTAGGCGCATTGGGCACCCATATTTTTACAGACCAATCGGCACTAGGTGGGTAATGTGGTCAGCATTACGCCGGCTGTCTTTACTTCCCCAGGACAGCCATCCTGGTACCCATTTTAGGCTGGGTCAACCTGCGACTCCCCATACCATGATAAAAATCTATGCAGCCAGCGAGGACATCTAAAGTAACCCAAAAATTAACACTGATGGATTCCGATACATAATAGAGGACACAAGGGCAAGGAGAATGAACTGGATAGAGGATGATCATAGAAAGAAAAACACTAGGAAGATAAAGATAAAAGGAACATATGGGGACAAAGACAGGAAGAAGCGGTCTGTATATCAGGATCGGGTCAAAAGCCAGGGAGCTGGTGCACATACCATAATCATGGCTATGAAAATAGCGCAAATAAACCAGACCATAAATATAATCGGAAACTGTTGTCAGTTCCGGCTGCCAACAGCAAGTTGAACGCAGTAAAGTTTTTTTTCTTTAGAATTGATGATGATAATGATAAATGCCAATGAGAGCGGCAAAAGGAGCTAGACCAGAATCCATTCAAAGTATTGAAACAATTGCACAGGATAGAATGTTAACTGCTGAATGATGAATTAAGAATTGACATCATCGCACTCGGGCACCCCCATAAGCGGTCCGTCCCCATCTTCAGCAGCAAACAAAGAGTTCCAAATCCG